CCACATATACTAAATAAAGAAATAAAAAAACCATAAGATGCATGCAGAGTAAACGCAAAAATATGAACGTGAATAAAAATCACAATTTGTTTTAAATAAAAAAATTAATTTGATTAAAAATCATGATGTTCAAATTATTATTTTTTTCAAATATTTTTATAGTTATCAATAATTAATAATAAGTAGATTTTTGTACAAGTATATGAATGTATTCAATAAAATGTATGTAACTAAATTGTAATTCTCATTTCATCCCATTTGTCCCGCTTTGTCTCAATGAAAATGTGGTCACTTTAGTCAATATTCCTCTGATATATGTACCTACCATAAATGTTTTCCAGATCAGGGCCAGCAAGTAATGTTGGTACGATGGGTAACCGCTCCCACACGAGAAATTCCGGAATTTTACGTTAATTTATAATTACACACATAAGACACGAATATTATTGAATTTATATTTTTGGATTTACATCGAAAAACTCGAATGCGTAGTTAAAAATTTACCACCCACCCTGAAAATAACCATTTTAAAAGATAGTTTCAATTTAAGATCTATTAAAAAAAGCATTGCATTGATGTTTTTTAGGTACGACGAAATGTGTCTACAGCTGTTTAACAATGCTTTAGCATTAAATATGGGCCTACTTTGGCTTTTGTTCAAATTTCTGAGAAATCCCGTATCGGTTTAATGCGAAATCAGCAAAAAGTGAGTTTAAACCGTAAGAAAGGACATTCGGTCTGTTTATTGTCCTGTCGATATTTACAAACAAGGCAATTCTTACGTTGTGCAATTACTTTGTGTAATTAGTATTGTAATTATTATGTAATATTATAATACAGTGTAAACTCTATATAACGACACTTAAGGGACTGAACATTTTTCGACGTTATAAAGAGTTTACACTGTAGTATAATAGCTTCAACTATATGATTTTGATTTTTTTATCCCCACTCCTCCAGATTGCCTAAGGTCCACTAAGCATGAACATTGGACTTTTATCAGTGTTATAAATTTGCAGTGAAAAAATAAAAAAGTGAAATCAACAGGATCAGAATTCGTTTTATTTCAAGATCACGAAATTTTTACACTAAACTTTCAATAATAAATAAATTACTTAAGAATAATAAGTAACATGTCAATTTCGTTTTGAAATAAATATTTCCAGAATAACGTCATAATGACCTGCCAATAAAAGCAAGTTGTCTATTTCTAACGATAAGTTACAGTTTTTATTCGATAACACATCAAGTTTGATAAAAAGGTCAAATTCGACTTGAAGCTTTAGGAATTGCAGTTTCTGATAGTCGATATGTTAAAGATGGAACTTTAATTATGAATATTTCTGCATCGCCTTCTTTTGACTTTGACATAATTATTTCAGAAGCATTACAATTTTCTGAACCCATTTCTTGATAAAAAATATTCACGAAAATTTGGCACTTACGTCTGATTTTTAGAATGAAATCAACAAAAATCAATAATACATTGATTAGCGCTTTCTTGATCAGAAATTGAAACACACAGGGTGTTTTACAATAGAACAATCCGGAATAAAAACTACAATTTTCTTAAAAATGACAAGTGTCACAAACCCGTTGATGTTAGTATGGTAAAGCTATCATTTAAAAAGAACTAAACTAAAAAAATGTAAAATCTAAATTTTCGTAATAAATCGCAAAAACCAACCACTAAATTTCTTAGTAAATTATGACTCAGAATGTAAGTAATTAAAATTACTTTAATTATTTTTTAAATTAATGAAAACTTGAAGCGCGAAGTAATCCAGATCTACGTTGGTCAAGCAGGAGTACAGATTGCTAACGCTTGTTGGGAACTTTATTGTTTAGAACATGGGATGCCAATACAGCAGAAATTGGAAGAAGAATGGTCAAACTTTAACGTTATAATCCAAGCTCCCAACATAGCACAAAAATTCTATTTATATTCTTCTTAATTTAGCACTACTACTTTCATAAATGTTATCAGCAAAACGATGCAGAATCCTGAGTTATTAAAACATTAAAACTTTGCAGAAGTATTATTACTTATTATGAGAATAAANATGTAATCTTTACGTACACACAAATAAACTTGCGTTATTCCACATATGTACTTGCATACACCCTTAAATTACAAAAAAGATAATCGAATTGTGCATGAAGCTAAAAATCAATCGACATTCGTCATTTTAAATGGGTTTAGGTAAATTTCAGATGAAATCCGTACAGGACATTACCGACAATTGTTTCATCCTGAACAGCTAATTACAGGCAAGGAAGATGCGGCAAATAATTTTGCTAGAGGTAGATACTCGATCGGTTCGGAGATGATTGATCTGGTTTTGGACAGGATAAGAAAAGTTGCCGATGATTGCGCCAATTTGCAAGGATTTATATTATTCAGAGCATTTGGTGGCGGAACAGGATCGGGTTTTGCCGCGTTACTTTTGGGATCGTTGTGTAGCGATTATGGTAAAAAACCCAAATTAGAATTTGCCGTATATCCTGCTCCACAGGTAATATTATCAAAATTCCAATATATTATGAAATCATCATCATAAGGTCGTCAGTCCTAAGACTGGTTGGACACGCACCTCCACTCTTTCCTATTCTGAGCTAATCATCGCATTTCTCTACCTTCGCATTTCCCTAAAACTAGAACAACTCACATCCTTAACTATTTGAAAACAGTAATCTAATTTAGGTCTACCTCTACCCCTTCTAACTCCCGTTTCTGCCTCTAATATGTCTCTGACTAGATCTTCATTCCCGAGAAGGTGTCCTACTAACCTATTTCGCCTATTTCTTATTGACTACCATAGAGTCCTCTGTTCTCCTATTCTTTCTAATATCTCTTCATTTCTAACCTAACCTATCCACGGTACCCTCATCATTCGCCTGTAACACCACATTTCGAACGCTTCTAACCTTTCCTTTTCCGCAGCGTCCACTGTCCATGTTTTGCATCCGTACAGCGCCGCGCTCCAAACATACACCCTTAATAATCATTTAAAAAAATTTCTAAATTAACCGTTCGCGAGCATAGAAATAACTTCTTTTTATTGAAGGCGACTCGATCGTCTGCTTTATATCCCTACTACTCCTTCCGTCCTGACTTATCTGACTTCCTATAAACATAAAATTAGCCACTTCTTCTAATTTTGGAAAAAATACAGAATACTTTCCACTTATTTAACAGCTTTAATGTACGAAGTTTATCAAATTTTGACAAAAATAATTTAATTCATCAATATAAACGTGAAATATATTAATTGCATGCAATTAATATTAACAACTACAGCATTATAAACTTTTTCAATATATATGTATAATAAATTTTTTCATATCACTACATTTACAACATAAAACGACATTAAATAAACAAATGCGTATCGTAATCTTCAAGAAACTTACATCAGTCATATATGAAAAACATAACTACATTTAAATTTACAAAACAAGAACGAAAGAATAATTTCGAATTCTTTCGTCTGAGATGAACAAAAATTATACCTAATATTTTTCAACAGATTTCTCCGGTTATCGTGGAACCGTATAATGCAGTTTTAACGTCCCACACTTCTATTGAATACGAAGATCTCTGTTTCATTATGGACAATGAAGCGTTGTACGACATGTTATCAAGATATTTAGACGTTACGAAACCCACATATACTAACTTGAATCGACTATTGGCTCAAGTAAAGCTCTAAACACCTCTAATAGTTTTTCATGTCATTAGACAATTTTAATTTTTGAAGTGAAACTTCTTAACCCACGGTAGGGTAAGTTCGTTTCTTGCGAGTTGCTATGTAACGAAATCATGCAACGGATGTCCCCCCTCTACTCGGCCACGTAGTCGAGTTCGTAGTGGGGATCGCTTGAGCTTAAATTCATAATGTAGAAATAATATTATTAAACCAATTCCTTAACCCCTATTCTGATATGTTTGTTTGTTTGAAGAAGTTTCACTTCAGTGGCGTACAGTATAATTACACGTTGTATTTTTTTTCTTTTTTTATACACAGGTTGTTTCGGCTGTGACAGCATCTCTTAGATTTGAAGGAGCAGTTAATGTAACGTTGATGGAATTTCTAACTAATTTAGTACCATACCCAAGAATTCATTTTCCACTTGTGACGTATGCGCCCTTGGTTCCAATAACAAAAGCATATTATGAGCAGTTGTCCGTGGCGCAACTGACTTACGGTTGCTTTGAACCAGCCAGCCAAATGATCAAATGCGATCCCAGAAAGGGAAAATACATGTCTTGTTGCTTGCTTTACAGAGGCGACGTTACCCCCAATGACATAAATTCGGCTATCGAAAGCATACGAACTCACAAAAGTATTTCATTCGTTAACTGGTCACCAACAGGATTTAAAGTATGTAATATTTAGATACGTATATACAGAGTGTGGCATTTTCAAATGGGAGATTCTTTCTATCCCTAAAATAAAATAACTGCTCTCATTCCGGTATTTCCACGTTTTTTCTTTAAAATTTTAGTGATTATGATGCCACACCCTGAAGATTACCAAAAACCTATTAAAATTATTAATCAATATATATTTAGGTGGGTATTAACTATCAGCCACCGGTGGCTGTACCTGGAGGAGACCTAGCGCAGGTGCAACGAGCTGTTGTTATGTTGTCCAACAGTACTGCAGTGAATTCGGCCTGGTCTCGTTTGAATAAAAAATTTGCTTTAATGTTCAAAAAACGTGCTTTCGTACACCATTATGTCGGAGAAGGAATGGAGGAAGGAGAATTTAAGAATGCTCAAGATGACATACTGGCTTTGGAAGCTGACTTTAAAGAAGTTGAAAGCGATTAAAAAGCATAAATTACAATTACTTTTATTACTATATAAACGTAAACAGTTAATATCTTCTTAACCTGCCAAAGGATTTGCATGAATTGTGACGCTGTTAATCCTGGTATCCGCAACTGGCCTATAATTTTTAGGATTAACGGGTAACTTTTCAAGTTCGTCAAGTGTTTCCAAACCGTCAATTACCCTAAAATGTTACACTGTATTAATAAAACATCTACGAGAAAAACCAAATGAAATCTTAACATTTTGATTTGGTTTATCAAAAAGATGCGAGATCAATGGAAAATTTCAATAATGACAAAGTATAATATTTTGAATTGAAAAAATACAAATTATAATGCCTTCGCCTTTCCGAGTTTATATCTTTTACAATAAAAACATACTTTCCAAATATTGTATATTTCAAGTCGAGATGTGGTTGAGGAGCGTAGGATATAAAAAACTGACTTCCATTAGTGTTCGGTCCATTATTTGCCATTGATACAATTCCGCGCGCATTGTGCTGCAAAAATTTCATTATTGATCATTTAAAAACAAAAGTAAAGGCCCAACCTTCTCAAAAAAAAAATCACTAGTCACATATATATAATATACATACTAAAGATTTTTAAATTTTTAACAAATAGCTGCATGGTGGCGTCAGTGCCGGATTAAGCCAGCGCGGGACCTGTAGCAAATTTTATCAAGTGGCCCTTAGACTGTTTTAGATTAGGTACTTATCGAGTTTATAGTATACTTTAAGAGATAACTGAATACTTAAAAAAATCGGTTGCACCGCTATATTATGTAAGAAAACAGTACTCAACACAATTACGAAACCACTTTTCTCAAGAATGGTTCATATCGAAAGTACTGTTATTAGCATCCAAACGTAAATTTCGACCATTCCTTATAGATTGGTAGTCAATATAACCGTTTTCAAATCGGTCGGGTTATTAAGACTAGCACGGAGAAAATATTAGGGAATTCCCCGTTTTGTTTAGCAGTATTGCCAATTTACGTGTAGTACATGATTTTTGGTATGATCAGCAGATAGAAAAATAAAATTATAGTTGATCATTTTGATGCAAATACTTTCTTCTTAGTAATTGTAAATTGTAACTAAATCTAATATATAAATAATATTTTTTTATGGTCAGAAAACATTGGTGCGCGGGGCCCGCAGCATTTGCTACTCTTGCTTCGTGGCTAATCCGGCACTGGGGGACGTCTCTTACAATGATTTTTATTTATTTCTGTTATAACACCTTCTGCTGAGCATACTACGTTCTCTCACTACTTGGCGATGCATGATATTGCAATAGACTGCCTATATTCCACTAGGCGTCCACAATGTCCACCACGCCGAATTATTAGGCGTTCATTTATCGATCACGATAATCGGGTGTGGTAAAAACATCATCAATTGCATCAATATTCTCGACCGCTCAAGATCTCGGATACTCATGGAGGTGGTGGTGGGTTGCTGTGTTGCGTGATCGATGCCGAGAATTTGGCCTATCTTAAAAATTGACAGAAGTAACAAAATAACACAAAACTATTTTGTTTTATTAACATAAGTAAAAATTACAAATTCTGTTAAAAAATAAAAATAAAATCATTCGTTTAATTTTTCATCATCGTCATTAGGTCGTCAGTTCTGATACTGGTTGGACACGCACCTCCACTTTTTTTTTATCCTAAACTAAACTTCGCATTTCCGTAAAATTAGAACATCCCACATCCTCAACTATTTGTGAAGAGAATCTAATCTAGGTCTATCTCTACTCCTCTTAACTCCTGTTTCAACTTCTAATATGTCTCTGACTAGCCCTTCATGCCTGAGAAGGTGTCTTACCAATCTATCTTGCTTATTTCTTATTAATTTCCATAGAGTTCTCTGTTCGCCTAATCTTTCTAATACCTCTTCATTTCTAACTTTCTGTATGCACGGTATTCTCATCATTCACCTGTAACGCCACATTTTTCGAACGCTTCTAACCTTTTCTTTCCCGCCGTGCCTACCGTCCGTGTTTCGCACCCGTACATAGCCGCATTTCAGACATGCATCTTTAACAACCTTTTTCGAATTTCTAAATTAACCGTTTGCGAGCATAGAAGTGAATTATTTGTTATCATTGTAAATTATTAATATTTGCAAAACAATAAAATACAACCTCTATTGGTAAAAGGCATCGATCGTAGCGACACGCCGTAACAATAATTCGAATCAATCCTATCGGGTCAAATACGCCACGTTTCCTTACGAAAACATGTGTTACAAGTTAATTTTGAAGCAATGTTTTTATCTTTGAGTGAAATTTTGGAGTTCTTGAACTCATCAATAAAAAGCCGTAATTTCGTTGAAGGAGAGAAAGTTGTGAATGCTGGTCATTTAATATATTGTGGCATATTAAATAATATAAATAATCGATATGAGTTACGCTGAGAGAGTTTATATCATTATTTTCTGCCATTGGAAGGTCAGAACTTGTTAAAATATTTTCTTCATCGTTTAGGTTACCACAATTTCCATTTTGTTGGTTTATATTAGCTTCAGTACGATTTTTTTCTCTATTTAATCTTAATCTTAATCTTAATCATACTTCTATTAATTCGTTTCTGGTCATCTGAAGGCTCTTTTATATTACATGAAGGCAAATTACAGGAAGGTATGGCATCTTTCTTCAAGAATTTGAAACCTTTAAAAATAGAGTCAACATGTCTCATTGTCCACAAAATTCAAAATATTGATTAACGTAATTAATATTTGAATTAATTTTAAATAATTAGTTATAGCTTAAAGTAATTATGCAAAAAAATGAATATTTACCAGGTGGAACATAGTCACTTCTTTTAAAATGTAACTAACAAACTTGCATGTGCTGAATTACTGTTTCCCCAATTTTTAAAACTTCTTGCCATTTTTTATGGCAATCGACTTTACCGAATTACCGAAATAATTTTGTATTTTTACATAGTAACTATTTGGTTTTGGAAAATAGTGGAAACGAACGCCCGGATTGTTAAACGCTTTACTTTTGCAACCATAGACACAACAAAACATTTTACTCGTAGTTTTTTTGGAGAAAATCTTGCTCCATTTGTTTCAGATTGATTTTCCATACTTTAAAATAATTTTATTTATTTTCTTCTATTATAATAAAAATAAAAAGAATTACGTATGTATCTCTTTCTACTCGCTGTGTAACAGCTAACCCGATAGGATTGGTTCGAATTATTGTCACTACGTGTCGCTACGATCGATGCCTTTTACCAATAAACAAATTAACTGCTCACAAGTGGTATAGGAAAGACTGCAATCAGAAGAACGAATATTGTGAACGCCTAGTGGAACATAGTCAGAGTACAGTTATCACTCTGCTCATAGACCGATTGTCCCCGCCCCGATTTACCACTGTACATGAAACCAATGACGCGACATACTGAAGAGAGAGTACTTATGCGCATAGATGCGCAGTGAGCTAAAGTGAGCACTGTACTTTGGTAGTTTACCATGGTTACCAAATTGGCATTTCACTTGACCTCTGATAATGCTATTTGGCGTAAAGTATTTTACGTCTTGGGTAGGGTGTTGTTTTGACAGATTAGAAACAAGCCACCCTGCTGATATTAACAAAATAAAAGGTAAAACTTCCGAATCGCGGCTTTTTCGAAAATACTACTTTTTTGCTGGAAATGGCTTAAAATGAACTAATTATAAAGAACTTACACGAAATAATCTTCCCCTATTTTATATACATACATTACAATATGTATATATTTATATTGTATAAACAACTGTTGAGCGGGTATCACTTTTTAAATGAATGCAACTTGAACTGTAGAGACGAAGTCAGAAATAGCTGAGTAGTGACTGTTATCTATGATACGTTTGTACGGACCTGTAAAATATTTAGAAAGAAAATTGTTTAAAAAAACCTTCCCCCCCTTCCCGATTATTTCATGTAAGTTTTTTATAATTGCATTTTCAAAAAAGCCGCGATTCGGAAGTTTTACCCAAAAATAAAAAAACTTATTTTTTAGATGGTAGACTTATAAATATTTTACGGAGGGTGATTCACAGTAAATTGCAGCCTTATGGGAACATTCTAATGCCATTTTCTATTGTAATGTGTAAATGCCAACCATCTGTCTCCTCTATGAAATATATACTGCTGAATTTCAGTATGAAAACTGTCTATAATCTCTCAAATGTTATATTTTAACTGCTCCTTGTAGTTGGAGAATTGATATAGATGACATTCTTTAAATTTTCTTCCAAAAAGAGTGCAGGAGTATAAGCTGAGCACCTTAGCAAATGAGGAGTGATATCCCCCAAACCTCAGTGTAATAGCTCCAGAAAACAATTGGTCTACACTGTCCTGTTGAAAGCAGGTTCAGTTTGGGTTATAACCAGAAAAATCTTCAGCAGTCAAACTTGTCATAGATACAGAATGACTACTAATAGCTGAAAATGACATGGCATACCAAACTGTTACCTTTCTGAAATGCAATTGTTTTTTACTATTTTTACAGCCTGTATATTTGAAACTGCATTTTATTGTAATTCACCCTGTACAAGACCCACACAACCTCTAATTAACATTGAGTTAATTAAAAATTATGTATTACCTTAAGATGTTCTTTAAATTCATCTTCAAATTTTTTTCCCCAAATCGAAGCTCCTCCTTTTCCTGTACCTGTGGGATCGCCTGTTTGCACTATAAAACCTTTCACATTACGATGAAATGAGCTGTTATCATAATAATTAGAAGCACATAAAGCCAAAAAATTTTCACAGGATTTAGGGCAAGCTTCACAAAACAATTCAATTTTAATATCACCTACATCGGTATGTAAAGTAACAGACTAAAAAAGATTATATAATTAACCATCATTAGTCACACAGTCAGCATAGAATTCGTTACCATGACGTTAAAATTAATACCTTCTCCTTTTTGTGGAATTAACCAACTATTGCATACATGTTAAATTAATATGACTGAATCTGGATCATAGATAATCTGGATATAACTGATCGTGAGCTTTTATACTTTTATTAGACACATGGATTCTGTTGATTTGTTTTTGTTTGTTTTGTTCGTTTTTGGCATGTTTTTGAATCATAGACAAGTTTCATAGATAATAGACAAGTTTTGAATGGAGGTTCGAGGTTGGAGGTTACAATAATCAGTAGTTGCTTTCAAATTTCAATCTTTTCCCTTGCCCGTATATTTTTATTAAATAGTTTACTGGGATTATTTTGCATTTTTTCTTTAAAAGTATTAAAATAACACAACTGTACTTAATTTAGTACATAAACAACTTTATTCTAAATTACTACTTATTACTACGACTTCTCATATATAAAAATTATGAATCACATGCATATCAAATGTATGAACCCACCTTTTGGAAAAAATAAAAATAAATGTAATTTTGGTTTAATAGGTTAGAATAACAAATTTAGTTAAGAAAGTAATTTGAGCAAATAATACTCGTATATATTAATTGCACGCTACTTATCAAAAAGGAATACAAAATTTGAGGCAAAAGAATAAATTTAAATGAAGTCATTCGTCATGTTTTTTTTGAAAAATCACAGATAGTTATTTGATAGCCTTTCAAACAATGAAAGACATTTTCTTAAATTTGAGAAAATTTTGAATTTCAACCCTAAAATTATGGACGTAAAAGAAAAAGACGGGAAACTTTCGTGGTCGGAACTAAAAGGAGTAGTGAATGATCTTCGAAGGCAATTATCTAGCTTGTCTAGCATGATTCCAACATCAGTTTCTTTTAGAACTTTAGCTGATGGCAGAACTAGAATATATTATTTAAGTACCCCACAAAATGCCTGGGAAACAACACTTTTATATTCAGACATACCAAGTAGTTGTCAGTCTACTAGTATGAGGTTACATTCGTATTGTGTTATAGAAGCTAACTTTCCTAGTTTATCATCATCTAATAAATTTTCTAGAGAAGAACAGTTGTTATGGGAAAGAAAACGTTTAACAACGTGGGGTATTACATCGTATGAAATCCATCCTGAATCGGGGAAAATAATTTTTTCAACTACAGGCACTTTATTCCAATGCATTGATAATGGATATTCAGTATGTTGAGCGATTTTGTAGTCAAACACAAATATTTATATATTACAATATATTTATTTAGAATGGACAACTGTTTCCAACAAAATTACGCATGATGTCAGCTGGAGCCAAACTGAACCCTCAAATTTGCCCTTCAAATCCTGATTTAGTAGCATATATTTGTAATTATGATATTTGGGTTGCTCACACTGTATCAGCATGTAATGTACGCTTGACTTATGCTCATAAAGGGGGTAGAAATCTTGCTGATGATCCTCTGTGTGCTGGAGTTCCTTCATATGTAATGCAGGAAGAATTTAATAGGTATCAAGGATACTGGTGGCAACCAACATGTAAAGGTATCACTCTTTTTATTTCCTTTAATAAATATTTTAATTACATATAGTGAATTATTTATTAGATGGAATTTATCGAATATTATATGAAGAAGTGGATGAAGGAGATGTCAAGATATTCTGTTTTCCTTCATCTCAAGGTGATTCTGGAGAAATAGAAGAATTCAGATTTCCAAGAGCGGGTTCTGCAAATTCAAAGTCCTATTTAAAAATGATAGAATTTAAACTAAATGATAATAAGCAAATAGTTGACATTTGTATGTTAGAGTTGCAGTTCTCCCTTTCTATGTTGTTTCCTTGGATGGAATACTTAGTACGAGTCGGATGGGTGCCTGACACGGAATAGTAAGACACTTTTGTTTTCTCCTTTTTTTATTATGTTGTGATTGTTAATTATTTGTAGTATTTGGGTTCAATTGCTAAATCGAAGACAGCAACGCTTAGACCTTGTTCTTTTATCACTGAACAACTTTACAGAAGTGCTTCCCATGTATGATAGTGACGCAAGTAGTATTCATCTGGGAAGTCCTATTGTTCAAGTAATTCTTTCCCAGGAATCTCCCATTTGGATTAATGTTCACGACCTTTTGTATTTTCTACCGTCCGTAGATAATAATGAAATCCAATTTATTTGGGCCTCAGAAGATACTGGTTTTCGTCACCTGTACTTGATCACTTCTCAGATTATGCTATATACTAACGGTATTATGGAAACAATGGAGCCTATGGATTTTGTATTTTTGCAACCAAAAATATCACAGAAAGTAGCTTTGACTTCAGGTGATTGGGAAGTCTTAGGACAGAATTTGTGGGTGAACAATGACAGACAGTTGGTCTACTTTATGGGCTTAAAGGAAACACCTTTAGAAAAACATTTGTATGTGGTTTCACTAAGAAGACCAGGTGAAGTTCGATTACTCACAAGACCAGGTTATTCATACAATATTGATTTTAACGAGGTATTTACATCAAAAAATATATTTTTTCTGTTCCCTTTTTAATTGAAAAGATCGTTTGTTATAGGAATGTACGATAGTGGTTGCGGTATACAGTAATATCGAAAAATTACCTGCTTGTCAGGTATTTAGAGTTGTTCACACTGATTGGACTGTAGATGGTTTATCACTTACGCCAATCGGATATATATTAGAATCCGGCCCATGTGTAAATCCCAGTTTTCTTCCCAAATTATACACTCATGAAGTATCTGGACAAGTTCTCTATGCCATGGTCTTCAAGCCCCATAATTTTGAGCCCCATCAGAAATATCCGACAGTATTAAACGTCTATGGGGGTCCCGAAGTTCAACTTGTTTCAAATACATTCAAAGTAAGAAATTGATTAACTAATAAATAATGCCTCTTACAAATAAATTTATAGGGAATGAGGCAACTAAGGATGCATATGCTAGCTGCGAGAGGATATTGCGTGATTGCAATTGATTCACGGGGGTCTCAACATAGAGGGTTGATATTTGAAAGCCACTTAAAAGGTCGGATGGGCACTGTGGAACTTCAGGACCAGGTAGAAGTTTTGAAATGGCTCATCGATAGTTTAGGATATATCGACACAAATCGAGTAGCAATTCATGGGTGGTCATACGGTAAACATATATGTTCTTATTTTTGTTCAATATTTACGTTTTGGTTATTTTTAACTTAATTAGGTGGGTATCTGAGTTTGATGGGTCTAGTGCATTATCCAGAAATGTTTAAAGTAGCGGTCGCAGGAGCTCCTGTAACAAATTGGAATCTATATGATACAGGATATACAGAAAGATATATGGATCTACCGGAGCACAATCCTCAAGGATACATTGAAGGATCTGTATTGAATCATGTCAATAAATTTCCAGATGAGTAAGTTTTATGTTTTGGTGTTGCATATGTTTTGTTTTAATTAATTGAATTTATTAATTTTGTTAATTTTATTATAGAGAGAATCGTTTACTAATAATTCACGGATTAATGGATGAAAACGTTCATTTTTATCATACAAGTCAGTTAATAAATTGTTTGATAAAGGCAGGAAAGCCGTATCAGTTACAAATATACCCTAATGAAAGGCATTCTCTCAGACATTTGGACGCAAGTAAACATTATGAGACTACGTTGCTTTCGTTTTTGCAAAATAATTTGTAGTTATTGAAAATTAAAGAAAACAAAAATATCAGCTATGTAATTAAAACGATCAAAGTAAATACTAATAATAATTTTAATAAATGGAGACTTCGTGGCAGTAATAGTAACTTGAGTACTGTAAGAATGCCTTTTGAATTGGAGCTGTGCTGTAATTTTTTTAAAATTACGAAACTAGTAAAATGTAATTTGATATGGGGTGATGGTTATCTAAATTATAAAAGGAAACGTAACAAGCAACAAATACTTCTTGTTTTATCATTTCTTTATCGCACCTTTTTTCTCAATGCCTTAAATTACAAAATTTAACTCATTTCAATTTATCGAAAAAAAATGTAAGTGTAAATGACAAGAAATTTTATGGAATTTAAAATCTTGGTAAATTCTTGCTGCTTGTAACTGTCCTTACCAGTAAACTCGGAATTTAAAATTATTGATATTGTCACGAATATAAAGCAACATGAATTTCTACTTTCAAAAGTGTAGTTAATTTGTTTAAAAATGTTATAAAATCATTTTAAAGAGAATGACGTGTGTATATTAGCTGTAAATGTAATTTTTAACAAAATGAATTTTTGAATTAGTTATTTATTTGTATTATATGATCTCCACTGATGAATATATTCTAAAAATTACCAAGTTTTTGTGCGGTAATTGGAAAGTGTTAATTGTCTGGGTTTTTTAAAATCTCTTTACCAAGATAATTTTTTAAGTAAAATTAAATCCAAGTTTAAGAAATAAAAATTTTACATTCATGTGATAATTTTATTAATTATATATTTCAATAACATTGTAATGATATAAGCTTATTTTATTATTTATCCAAACCAGTTTTAGTTTTTCTATTTAAATAACAGTATAAATACTTTATTCGCTTGGTTAAATTTTTCCAATTAGTTGGACGAACTATAGGATATGCTGATTTAACAAATATTTTACGTTTTCTCAATAAAACTTGATATTCATTTCCCTTTACACCTCTAAGCCACGAGGGCAAATTGTAGAGTATTCGGGTGGGATGCAAACGTTCATTTCCTAAGATATCTATGTAATCGTTTTGTCCAAAAAGGGCCTTTTTTTCAGACCATGCATTTTTGGGCCTGTACGTAGGCATGGGTAATTTTTTTGCACCAACCACCCGTGGTAATAAACCGCCTTGTAAAATTGGATCGTCGTACCCATATCTTCGTATTAAAGGTCCTTTTGCTATTTTATCTGCATGATATCTAAACCTTATCTGAGTATATTGGCAATATGAAGCGGTACTTTTAAGTAAATTAAGTAATACCATTTCAGTAACAGAAAATTTGTAAATATACCTCACACTATTTTTGTACAATTTACAATCCGTCCATTAGGTTAAAAACTTAGACATCATAGATAATAGATATACAAAGGGTAACATGAACAACATAGATAGACAAGTTAACATTTGATTGTAATCTATAGATTAATTGGAATCATAGATTACATACATATATTTTCTAATCTATGATTATAATATGTTGTTACTGTTATAAGTATTATATATCCATGTAAATCCATTGTATATCTGTAATATATGGCAGTAACGTCTGAGTTAAGCGTTACCCTTTGGGTACAGAGAGATGAATATTGTTGGAAACTTCGTTCCATCTCTTTCTTTTGTTCTACCACAATTCTGACCGCTAAGGCATGTCCATTAGTAAACGTCGATGTTTGGGTATCTATTATCTATGGTTACACGTCGATCCCATCGACATTTACTAATGGACATGCCTTACCGGTAAGAATTGTGATACAACAAAAGAAAGAGGCGGAACGAAGTTTCGGACAATATCCATCTCTCTCATGATAGTGCGTGGGCGTGTCATGAAAGAGATAGCAATAGTCCGAAACCGTACGCCATTTCCCTCACTTTTCGAGCCAAGAAATTATTACGACATACGGCTAAGGCACGCCATTATTATATGTCTATGGTCGATCCATAAATAAACCCAGATCTATATTCTAGATTGTAGATCTATTATCTATGAATAAACCTAACCTTAATTGTTATAGTAATTGATTGGGATAATATTTATTTAGTAAATAATTGAATATATAAATATAAAGTTTGCTAGTCAACATAAACATGGATTTAACATTACTTTTTAAAGCATGCATTAAAACAGTTAGAACTACGAATAAAATGGTAAATAATGAAGACACTACAAGTACTCTTTTAAAGGTTAAGAAAAAAGACCCTATTTTGAAAACTGCAAGAGATATATTAAAAAAGATTAGAAGTTTAGAGGATTTTTTGCGAGAAAACAAAGCTACTTACTTAAATGTTATAAATTACATTTCAACTTATAAGACTATGAGTGAGACTGATAAGGGGAAAGTAGATAGTACAGCTGAGGAAATTATAAATTATAGTAAAAGCTCCATTAACAGTCTTAGAGATGAAATTCAGAAGAATGTTAAATGTATTCAAAAGCTTGAGCACTACTCCAGTGTAGTACAGTCCCTTGAAAAATATTTAAAAGATGTTTCAAAACTATATGCCGAAGCAAAAGCTATTAGAGTCAAAAGGGTAGTGGAAACTCATAAGATATCAAAGTTAGAACTCGAAAACAATTCTAAAGAACATTTAAATGATATAAAGGATTCAAATAAACATAGTAAATCAATATTAAATGATATTTCTAGTATTAACGGTACTGCAAAAAGTGATGAAGGTAACTTGACCATGGAAGAAATGCAAATGTTTGAATCTGAAAATGATGCATTATTTTTGGAGTTGAATAGTTTATCTGATGAAGTGAAACAAATGGAAACTAAGGTGGTGCATATAGCTGAGTTACAAGAACTTTTCACAGAAAAGGTTCTTCAGCAAGAAATAGATATTGATCGAATTGCTACAACAGTTGTTAGTGCTACAGACAATATGAAATATGCGAATGAACAAATAAGGCAAGCCATTCAAAGAAATGCAGGATTACGAATTTGGCTTTTATTTTTCTTGCTAGTTATGTCTTTCTCCTTACTGTTCTTGGACTGGTACAATGATTAAACTTTTAGTTTAGTTAGTTAAATAAATGGAATATTTTAAAAGGAAGATTTATGCATATAATAAAATGTTTTACTTAAAGAATTGCTTTTTCATTTAAGTAATTCCCATTTATCACATGATGTACTTATCTGTCAAAACTCATTCAATTAGTCACAATCTATCTGTTACACAAGCATACACCAATTTTATATTACAAAGTTTGTAAAGAAATTATCTGATAAAAATATTTGTCAATGTTTTTTCAGTTACACATAGTTAAGCTTTATCTGTATTATAGGATCTGCGATACGTTATCAGTTTGTCTTCCAAATGAGGTCTGCAACTTCTGTTTAAAATAGGTATACACGTTTTAATGTTAACCATGATATTGTTAATATTTTCGATGGTATTTCAACCAGCTATTTTGCAATCGACTTTTGAAGAATTAGCGAGGATAGGTGTTTCTAACAACTTTTTTTAATTCAATGGTTCCATGATGTTATTTTATTTTTAATTTTTTAGAATCCTACCAAAGTTGCTATACAGACAGAGACTGCAAAGAAAACAGTTTTTGTTTCGGAAACGATGACAACATTCCAGGAAGGTGCAAATGCGAAGAACATTTCATAATTAATAGAAATCGGACATTTTACGAATGCCTCGAAAGTAAGCTTTTTATGGAGTCGCTAGTCCGAAGACTAGAGTTGAATACGCACATCAACGTTTACCTCGAACCAATTTTTGTACTCCCCTTTCGCTACAACATCTCACATCCCTAACTATGTATTTAACTTCTAATTTCTAATATGCCCCCCCCATCATCCTATCTCTCCTTTTCCTTATTGATTTTTCCGTTGTATCCTTTATACTCCTCATTAATTCCTAATCTTTTTTATCCTTTCACGTTCCGCTATAACAGCAGATCTCATGCTTTTAGTTTTTTCTGTTTTTTTTCTTTTCCGCCACTCCCAATGTCCGTCTACATTAGCATTAAAACATTAATTTAAAGACAACGCTATCAATTTTATACTTTTAGCTGTTCAAAGCGAAGGATCCGTATGTACTAGGAATTTACAATGTCAGTATACTCTTGGCACTCTTTCAGAATGCATTAGCGATATTTGCGTGTGTCCTGAAGGTACTCATTTAGCTCCAGACAATAAATGTTACAAATCGACAAGTAAGTTGATATCTTGCCGTTTCTGTACAGAAGTAAGATCATAATTTTTTGCAGAGTTAGAGGAAATATGTTTGACCCATTATAACTGTTTATTATCAGACGGAACATACGGCTTTTGTGTAGCTGGTAGGTGTGTCTGTAATTATGGGCAGCATCCATCAACGGATAAAACACGTTGCGTTGAATCGGTTGGCTTAGGTGAAGGCTGCAGCAACGACGATAGTTGCTCAGTCGATTTTGCTGTTTGTTACGGAGTTTGCAAATGTATAGCGGGATTTATAGAGTCACCTGATAACACAGCGTGCTTAAAAGGCAATTAATATACGAATTATTCTTTTATTTCATAGTAAACCTATCATCTGTTTATTTTTAGCTGCCAATACTTTCGGAGATAACTGTACAAAAACAGTTCAATGTAGCGCATACTTAGCAGATACATTTTGTGATCAAGGTTCCTGTGTATGCAGGAATGGATATCATGGTTATGGCAATCGATGCTTTTTAAGTGCAAGGTTGGGTAGCACGTGTACGGATAAAAGACAATGTGCCATAACACCTGAGCTAGAACGCTCTGTAGATTGTATTGAAGGTGTTTGTATCTGCTCTAAAGGATTAAGTTCCGATAACTCATACGGGTGCGTGTTAATTTCAAACGGAAATGTAAAAGAAAAGACCGTTAGACAATTTATATTTATTACAGCCATACTTTTTATTATTATTTTAAATGAGTAGATGTAGATAGATTATTTAAATTGTTACATTAAGACTGATACTATTTTTTGAAAATGCCTAAATGAAGGGATAGTCGTTCGGAAAGATGGGGAAAAAGTTTAGGTTAGGTTGGATATTATTTCCTCAACCTTTCCCTCTGCCCGCGTGACGACTCAAACTAGATGTTACTCTGTAATTGGACTTGTATTTATCAGATAAGTGTACTCTCGTTTCATAATTAAATAAAAAATGGTAATTGTCTAGTTTAGCAGTCACACCAATTACGCTGAATTTTTAGTATGTTGTAGAAGTGATTATGCTGATCAGTTTCATAATAACGGAAATCATAATGAAACATAGTTTTCGAATGTCGAAAAACATGTGGTGGCCTATGATGTATAAAATTGGCAGTAACACGCCTAGACTAGGTAAATAGATGTAAAACTCTCGAGATTTGGACGATAGTAGTGACATCTAAGTTTACCCCACATTAGTAGACGATACTTGCAATATATATATAAATGGTATTGGCAAAGAAAACTTCGAATTTCACTGCCATCTATACATCAAACTATGAAGCGTAACCAAAGGCGCGCATTTCAAAATTACACCAAATTTTATTTTTTTTTGTTTTAAATGGAAATTGAAAAAAAAAAAAAAAAATAAAATTAACAAATTTAATAACAAAGTATAAATGCAGTAATAAATATAATTAGCACAATATACGAGTAAATAGCAAACATCAATTAATTAAAATATAGATACTAATACAGGTATATTTGTATGAACAAAGAAATTGTTCTTTACCTAATTTAGTACTGCTTCCTGCTTCTACAGGGGGTGCTAACGATTCAGAAACTGCAGAAATACTAGCTTCTGTATTGTCCATTGGGAGTGTACTTTCTATAACAAATAATTATATATGTTTTGGATATTTGAAACTGTTATCTGCATAACTACCTGCAGTTGAAACAATTCTTCTTTTCCCGTCATATGTTTTCACTGGATGCAGTACTTTTTCATCTTTTAATGGGGCAATTCCGTCTGCTTCTATTCCTCTACCAGAAGAAGTTCTACAAAACATTTTTTTTTAGAACTTAAGTTTCACAACAACAAATTACAATACCTGCCACTTTCGTTGAAACCGCTGTTACTTCAGGAAAATGGAAAGCGGCTTCTTGACCTTTAACTCCTGCAGGAGCTGTATAATCTATTTCAAATTAATTTGACCCCGTAATAGTGTAGACTGTACATCACGGTTTTTCTGTGTTGGGCAGAAAACATCCTTTCTTTACTTATTGTAAAGCATGATTGAAGTACTTAATATATTACTTACTTTCAGGATAGGTAAAAGTACTTTTCTCAAAAATTTTAAAACATTACAAGTTGTGAAACTACTCACTATTGCTCAATAACGCCACAACTACTGGGGAATTCCTCCGATAATCGCAACCGCCGTCGCATCATCTGTTGTCGTTTCAGTAAAATGTATGTCGCCTACTATGTCGGTAATGTCGATTTTGGCAATTTAAAAAATTTAAAAACTTACGTGGGGTAAACTTAGGTGTCGCTCGCGCTCGACATTTCATACCCTGCTGTGGGTGCATTGATGTTAAGAATATATTTCTGTGTGTATATTTTATATAACTAGTTAGAGAATGCGCAGCTTATTCTCTATGTCTATGGTTATAACATTAACACATAAAAAAACCTATTCCATTTTTATAATCGTAAATGATTCTAATCCTAACCTTACCAAAGTTATGTTCAGTTGTTTCATTGAATCAACTTTGCCTGGCTTGTCTATGAATTTAACTTTGGAAAAAGGGAAAAACAGTATTTATAACCGTATAATCACATATAATAGTTTTTAAGGTAAAAATGAAACAATTTACTTATTTGGTTTAAAAAGAATATATTGACTTCAGTTATAATGGAACTAATCAAAACCAATCGCTTACAATTGGTAAAATGTTTTCGTTCTCTATATTCAAGGTAAAAGTAGTAATACTCGTAATTAAGGTCAATTTTATTTTATATATTATCAGTTTTTCTTCAGCTGGCTCAAACCAAACAAAAGAAGATATCAGAAAAGCTAATTTACTGGCACGTGGGCTTCCCAAAGTAAAGCCTATTCCTGGAGTAAAAGAAATAATTTTGGTTTCTTCAGGAAAAGGGGGTGTTGGAAAAAGTACAGTTGCTGGTATATACTTCTTAATTTTAAAACAATTATAGTCGATTGGTGGTCGTGCCAATACAATCTATTTCAGTATAGTTTCTTATTGAAGGGGAAGATTTATTTTATTTCAAATTGCTAGTCATTAATTATTTAATAAATGTTTCTAGTTAATTTAGCTGCAGTTTTAAAACTTATTTTTCCACACAAACACATTGGATTATTAGATACTGATGTGTTTGGACCATCAGTACCATTAATGATGAATTTACATGATACTCCTGTTTTAAATAAAGATAATATGATGTTACCACTTACGAATCATGGAATAAAGTGGTATTACACACTGGATCATTCAATTTAAGGAATACTTTTTTATTTCTTTTTTAGTATGTCGATGGGTTTCCTGATTCCAGAGGATTCCTCTGTTGTTTGGAGAGGCTTAATGGTAATGCAGGCATTAAATAAATTAATGTGGCAAGTACACTGGGGTACTATTGATTACCTAATTGTCGATACACCACCAGGTACAGGAGACACCCATTTATCACTTATTCAAAATATTCCCATATCAGGTATCTATTTATTTAAAGAAAAAGAACTTGCAGAAATAAAACGTGATTTATTATTAAAATACTTCAGGTGTTATATTAATAACAACACCCCAAACAGCTTCCATACAAGTTACAAAGAGAGGTGCATCAATGTTTCAAAAATTAAATATTCCTATAATTGGAATAGTTGAAAACATGAGTTATGTAAAGTGCACTTCTTGTTTGGAAAAAATTAAATTATTTGGAACTGGAACATCAAAATTAAGTGAAGATTTGGGTGCAACTATTTTAGCAAGCTTTCCTTTAAATGATGAAATTAATAAAAGTGTTGATGTGGGGACACCTATTGTGGTATTGAATAAAGATAGTGAAACGACTTTTCAATTTCAAAATTTAGCTGAGAAAATTGTTAAGAATTTAATAATGTAACTTCACCATCATCTCTGTGTTTTTGTATGAATTAGAAAAAAATTAAAATGCAAATAATTATTGTAATTAGCGTTTATTAGATAAAACCAATTAGGACATTACTTAAACTATATTATCACATGCAGACATTCAAGAATCTTTGGTACTTATATTGCATTCAAATTAAAATATGTATCTATTAGGTATGTGTATGGCATCTGATTGTTATAAAAAAAGCCTTTTTTTATTTATTTGTATATGTGCAATTTTTATAATGTTTGTGATTTAGTGCGGACGTTTAACGCTATTTTCTATAGTTCCCAAATTTGTTGCTAATCTTGTAACATTTTCCACTGGTGATGTTTGTTGATCCCTTCTATAACGATTGCTTAGAAATTCACGAATATGTTGCACAATTAGATCAATTGCAACTGTAACAAAAGTATTAAATAATAACTTTACTAATTTGTATTATTATAAACGTACGTTACTGATCGTTATAATCATCGTAACCAATAATAAGTTAGAAACACATTATGCGTCTTAATATGTAGATGTTAATGATATTGGCGCATATTAAATTTATAAATTGGTAATACGTTAAATTTTTTTTAAACAAATGTGATTGTTTTATGTTATCCATTTCATGAAAAGACAAGTGCTTAAAAATTTTTTTTGTACTCGCACGTGTGTACGTGTGTAATACTATCAAGGTATTGTGCAAATTTTAAGGTTTCCGAGAAAATCGTTGACGGTCAAATAAAAAGTAACAATGTTTTAATTTTTATTGTATTGTAAAATATTTGAGTACTCATTGTAGGTACTCATGTATTTATAGTTAAATTAACAAACTGGGATATCAAACAAACATAGCCCGTAATAGGAGAAGCTTTTAAATACTTTACAAAATACAGCAGTTTTATATAAATGCATTTATATGCAGTCTCATTGAACAACCTGATTTTTATATAAGAAATAAATATTTATACGAAATTAAGGAATTTTCACTCATAAAATTAATAGTATTTCATTTGTCCTTTTAAAAAAAAGAATTAGTAATAGGCGTACTTAACGATAGTTAAGTAAATACTTGTTACTTCGGAAGGCTAGAAAGTATACCGTTTTCAAGAAGGAAATCTTTTACAACATTTGCCTTAGCTTTCTCACTGTATCCTTGTAAAATGTCCCAGATGTGATACACTATCAGGTCAATGGCCACTACAACAAACAATAACTAAACGTTAATAATATTTTTAAGAAGTTTCCCTTTTTTTATTTAATTGTTACACTAAGGCAATCAAAATGTTACGACCTGTTTATTATTGGTTACTCTGACTTTTTCGTGCCTCAGAAAGGAATATAACGATCTTAAATTTATAAAGCTACATGCAATTTGTAGTTTTACTGAAACTTACCTGTATTGTCTGCTCCACGAGGAATAATAACATCGGCAAATTTCTTTGTCTGAAAATATTTGGATTATAAGCTTATGATTAGTTTATTAAACAAAGTGCACCTTACTGCTTATTAAGCAGAAAATACTACTTACTGGTGAACAGAATTCTTCAAACGCAGGTTTTACAAAATTGATATATTGATTTAAAACCTGATCTAAATCCCTTCCTCTTTCAGTTATATCACGCATTACTGAAATCAATATCTGCTATTAGTCTACTATTTATTGTTCTTCTGCCTTATAAACAGCACCCAGGGCATGATCTGAACTTGTGCCCCCTTAATTCCATCAAAGAATTTTTTTTAATCAATAAACAAAAAACTGATTTAAATTGTGTAATATTAAATGTCTAAAAAAACAATGCCATTAATTTAATTTGTTTATTTTATGTATATTTTTATGGTTTTCCAAATTTGAACTAGTTTTATTAAGTTTTTCATTTTTACTAATTTCTGCACTCCTGGTATATGCCCATTATTATTGGCGCTGCTCATAAATATATTTTAATAACCATTAGGTCAGTATTTTAATGTTTGCAAATATTTAAGTGAAAGTTAATGGATTATAAAGTAAACAAAAAATTGTAATTACCTCTTCGGGCCAATCTTGTGTCTGAGTCAGTGTCAACAAATAATTTCATATGAAATAAGCTGCGAATAGCTGGAAAATAGAAAACCAATATTCCTTCAAATAAAACAACATCAGCTGGATATATGGTAACAAGGTCATCACGTTTCCTTAAAAATATTAAACATTACAGTTTCATTTAGGGTAAAAATTGTAATACATACAATGTGTGATTCTTATAATCGTAAGTCGGGATTTCACATTTACGACCAGCAAGTATGTCTTTTAATGTATCTTCCATTAGTTTTTCATTAAATGCCGATGGATGGTCAAAATTAAATTGACCTTTTTCTGCTTTTGTGATTTCTGCAGGACTTAGTTCTCTGTAGAAACTATCCTGAGATATACAAACAACTCTTCTTTGTGCATGTTCCATTTCAACTTGACCTAACTTTTCCATTATTTTTTTACAAACTGTGCTCTATAAATAATATATATATCCATAAATAGACTAACCCTCATTAGTTATCAAGAAGCAAAGCATACTTTACCACTTGCAGTGCCTCCTGCAACACCTATTAGGAATGGTACTTTTCCTTGAGAACAGTTGATCCTGCTTATGAATTTTGATGTGTTACTCATGTTTCGACACTTTAATGTAATATAATCTTGCTTATACAATAATAATTGCACGTTTATTTGTAGTACTTTAGGTATTCTTATCAACATAGGCTTGTAAAATGTTTGGTTAAGTATGTTTGTTGGTGGGTTTATCATACGTCGATGGATTTATCGCATAGGTTTATCCTTTATTATTTTATTATGGGGCTGTGATTGGTCCTGCATTCTGTGGCTAAATCTTATCTATGGACTAAATCAATAATATGTTCTTTTATCTTTTATCTATGCCTATGATAATATCATGATAATAACCATATAATAATGATAGTAACTATTTTTCTACGTATGTAGTTCCACAGTCCCATGTGATTCTTCAATCATCATTAGAATTATGTTCTTTGTTTCTTTTAAGTGTTTTGTAAACCATTCAATTTAAAACGACTTAAAATAAGGAATGCTTCTATTTGCAATAAGGTACATTTTATTTTTTTGAATGAACACTAAATTTTTTAATGAAAGTTACTAATTGTACTGATTATTTATTTCTGCTAGAATAAATTTTACTAAAAATGTTTAGGTAGGGTCAGAGAGTAGGGTATATTAAAACGTTCTTAAAACTCAGACAGCAATTACAGGTTTCTGGGATCATATTCTATATACCAAATTGATTCACTTGCCTATGAGAGGGCGTCAAAAGTAGCAAAACAACTAAAACGACCCGATTTTTTCGTATTTCATTGATTACTCAAAAGGCTGCTTCATATGATTCCATAGAGTAATAGAATCAGGATTTGGCCGAAAAGTAACTGACACCACCAAAAAAAATTGCTTGTTGTAAAGGTCGAAAATATAAGATCGTTTTTCGTTCATCATTATCATAAGGTCGTCAGTCCTAAGACTGGTTGGACACGTACCTCCACTCTTTCCTATCCTGAGCTAAATTTTGCATTTCCCTAAAAGTAGAACAACCCACATCCTTAACTATTTGCGAATAGTAATCTAACCTAGGTCTACCTCTACCCCTCCTAACTCCTGTTTCTGCCTCTAATATTCTTTGACTAGACCTTCATGCCTGAGAAGGTGTCCTACCAACTTATCTCGCCTATTTTTTATTGACTTCCATAGAGTCCTCTGTTTTCCTATTCTTTCTAGTACCTCTTCATTTCTAACCTTTTCTACCCACGTTATCCTCATCATTCGCCTATAACACCACATTTTGAAGGCTTCTAACTTTTTCTGCCGCGCCCACTGTCCATGTTTCCCACCCTTACAACGCCGCGCTCCAACCATACACCTTTAACAATCTTTTTGGAATTTCTAAATTAACCGTTTGCGAGCATAGAAGTGACTTCTTTTTATTAAAGGCGACACGACCCTGCGTTATCCTCTGCTTTATATCCCTACTACTCCTTCCGTCCTGACTTATCTGACTTCCTAGATATCTAAAATCAGCCACTTGTTCTAATTTTTCGTTTCCTATCTTTATATTCGCTCTTTCCCTACTGTTTCTTCCCTTGCATACTAGTATTTTAGTTTTACTTTTATTTATTTTCATGCAGTACTGATCTGTCATTACCGCTTCCATTTTATTTAAAGCTATCTCTAGGTCCTCCTTGCTAGACGTTAATACTGCTATATCATATGCAAATCTAAGCATACTAATTTTTTGCCCCTGCATATCTATCCCTACAGTTGTACTGTCTTTAATGATGTTGATGGCGTCTTCGATGTATAGATTAAAAAGTAGCGGTGACAGTGTGCATCCCTGTCTGACTCCCTTCTTAATATTTACTTCTCTACGCTGCATCCCTAGCTCTATAACTGCCTGTTGCTCTTTATACAAACTAAGTATCATTCTTTGTAACTCATCGCTACATTTTTAAGTATATTTAACATCTTGGCCCATTCAACATTGTCAAAAGCTATTTTTTAATGCTACATCGAACCCTTCTCTCATTATGGGATAACCAAGCTCATCTATCTCCACACTATCTTCCTTATCTAATATATCACCTAACTCAGGGCCTGCGTAAAGGTTCTCTAAATATTCTTTCCACCTATCTGCCTTTTCCTCATTTTCTATCAAAATGACCCCTGCCTCGTTTCTTATATTATTACTACTGTACCTCTTTAAAATTCCTTTAAATTGTATTATACGCTTCATCGGTTTTACCTACCTACTTCAAACTTTTCTTCTACTTCTTTACACATCCTATCAATCCACTGTTCCTTACCTGCCCTAATTATTTCCCACTTTATAGCTTTATATCTTTTTTGCCCTTCTTCGTCTGTCCTGTTTTTGTATTTTTAGCTTTTCTAAGTCGAGACGTCTCCTACCTTTCCTCCTTTTCAGAATTATCAATTTAAGGTTGGTCTTCATACCTACTAAATTATGATCGCTGTCTATATCTGCTCCTGGATAACTCCTACAGTCCTTCACTTGATTTTTAAATCTTTGCGTAACAAGTATGTAATCTAACTGATATTTCCCTAAATCACCTGGCATCTTCCACGTATAGCGCCTTCTAACGTGATGGTTGAATAAAGTATTCGCGACGGTTAAGTTATGTTTATCGCAAAATTCTATCAGCCTATCTCCCCTATCATTTCTATTTCCTAATCCAAAAGAACCTGCTATTGCACCTACTTTACCTTCACCTATTACTGCGTTGAAATCTCCTAAAACTATTAGGTTTTCCTGTCCTTTCACTAAACTTAACACGTCTTCTATATCTGCATAAACTGCTTCTACGTCTTCATCACTGTAAGATTATGTAGGCATGTAGACCTGCACTAATACCGTTCTTACCAGTTTTGAGTTTAATGTAGCTATAACTAACCTATCGCTTTTTTGTAAATAACTTTCTACACTCTGCTCTACTTTCCTATGCATTACAATTCCTACCCCCGAATTACCTTCTACCGATCCTGTATGTATTACTCTAAAATATTACCAGAAGTCTCCAGCTTCGGGCGAACGGACTTCACTAATACCTACTATATCTAATTCTAATCTATCCATCACTACTTTTAAATTGTCTAATTTTCCTACTTGCCTCATTGTCCTAACATTCCACGCTCTGACTAGTGAAATATTGCACCTATCCCTATTGCATTTATTGATGACATCCCCCGAGCTAGTCCCCGCCCGGACATCTTCAATGGCTTTACCCCAGAGGACGCCATCATTTAATTTTTGCGTACTTTGTATTCGGGATCATAATGTGGTGGTTTCCCGTTGCTTTCCACATCGCAGTATTGTGCATCAGAGTGCCATACCGATCTCGTGATCTCTGCCACCCTGAGTACTGAAAGAGCTGCTGCCCTCTTTCAGGGACTTGTCATAGTCTGGTTTCTCTTTAAGAACCCCTCCATTATGGTTGAACCTATGGTCCGGCTCCCTAATCATCGAAACTCATAAGCCGATCCACTCTCTCTAGTTTGTACAAGGTTCAAGTCTCGTCGGATCGGATTTTTCGGTAACAATTTAAAATTATTACTCCATTTTGTTTAAACAATTCGCAAAAGTTAGAAACTCAAGTTTTTTTGAAATGAAAATAGGACTGAAAAATTCTATGATACAATTAGTAAATTTAGTATGCACTTTAGATTTGTCTATGAAAGCACTAATTTGTGATGTAGGGGAGAATGGGGGAATTGCGGTCAGATAAGCACAAAAATGCACACTGCTCAAACCGTATTAACTACTTGTAATCATTGAGTAGACAAACTTAAAAAGCCTGATCCATTAACAGTTACCTTGTATAAACTTATGTTGGACAAACATCACATAATAAATTATTTTGTTATACTTTAAACATTATTAATAGACAACTAAAACTTCATCGTTTGAAATTGAAACGGACATCAAATGTGCAGCCAACAGGTGAGTTCCACCCGCTACTTAACGGATGTACTCAGTGACCACATTTGGTACAACGCTACCAAAAAAAAAAAACTTTTGGGTGTTTGATTCCCACCAGCCATTAATGCTGGTGGGCGGGCAGTCCCTTCGGACTATGCCGGAAGGTAGGGCGGAAGGCCCTCTTCAGCCTGCTTTCAGGAATCGTGGGAATGGGTGGGTGGTGGTTCGGGTGAGAAAGTTGAGACGGACGAAATGAAGATAGAAGAGAATAAAAGATTATCTGTGGAATATTACTGCCTCAGCATTTGCCTAAGTGATCCAAGGAAACCACAGAAAAACTTGGACCAAGGAATTGAATCGGCGTCCTCCCGAACGCTAAGCAATGGTCTGAACCTCTAGGCCATGCCGTTTTGTAACGCTACCATAACTCTCCTTCCTTCCCAAAGTCTGCACAAATGAGGCATTTGTCCTTGTGGGTATTGGCTTCTATGCCGTCCTAATTATCGTCGCACAGCTTTTGCTAATCCACATCATTTTTATAAGAATATTTTTATCATTTTCTTTCTTCTTTTTGTTTAAAATGCTTTCCTCGGTTTTAGTATTACCTTTTCTTTTTTTTGAAGTTTGACATATTTTCGCATTAGCTCTTCCAATTGCTGTTCAATAGAAATGGAAGTCAATATCTCTGAATATTGTAGATGGTAGATGGTACTGACAGAAGAGTATAGAAGGATGTGGTGGGTATAGTAATGTAAAGAGAGTTGGTCGACTGTTTAGCTTTTCAAGAGTGCTAAATGGAATTAGATACATCTTGATGGCTTCTCGAATTAAATTGCCTTATTCTACAAATTTCATGGCCTTTTGTAGACGGTCCATAGTCCAGATTATATAATAACTTAATGTTAATTTTGCTGGCATAAGGTGGCACATGGGGTAATACCGGTCATAATTGTTATTAACCCAACTGTTTTGATCGGTATTTCCCCAAGGTAACTCCTGCCAAAAAAGTAACCTCATAACAAAAGGTTTAAAACTTCAAATCCCTATTTACCGTTTTATGTGTCCATAGCAATAGTTAAAAGAAATATAAACTTTTTAGCCACTTCCACTGATTTAACTTCTCAAGAATATTAGAAGGTATTCGCATAAAAACTTCATGTGCATATTCCTTCGTGGATTGACGATTAATTGTTTTTGCGCATAATAAAGAGTTAATGCGTTCAAATATACTAAAGCAAAATTTAAAGAATGGATAAAAGATAATATATAATTGTTATTTATTAGAGGTATTAATTGTGCAATTAAGTTAAAAATATATTATATTAATACGTTAGTTTTGGGAACTGGTTAAAAGATGATATCATTCAATGGTGACATTACCGGTATTACCATGTACACACCTCTTATAAAAAAATCTTAACTGCCATATTTTCGGATAAAAAAAGTTTCCCTTGCCGGAGATAATACCAATACGATTTTTAACTACAATAACATACAAATAAAAAAATTCAAGACATGCTACTGAAGTGAAACTTCTTTAAGCACAAACACATACCGGGATAGGGTTTAAGGAATTGGTTTAATGGTATTATTTGTACACTATGAATAGGGTAGCCACCTTTTCAGGCTTTATATAACGTATTTTTCGACTAAAAGGTTAAAAAAAAAGTACTCGGCATAAAGATAAGGTATTTAATTTTTTGTTTTTAAAAACATATTTCTTGTTACACCTAGCAGCCAGTAACATATTGCTGTCGCTCTTAAATACATTAATAGCCTCTAAACATGGCAAACAAAGATTTGAGTAAACTAAGAGTTCATTTTTAATTAGTTTTAATGAAGCTTTATTCCTGTCGTCCCGCCACTTTGCGTTCATAACAGAGAATACTCTTTCTGTAAATGCTGAACTGGCCGGAACGGACTGCTAAAGTGACACTACTTTGAACAGATTTGGGAAATCGGGTTGTTCCGTAAATATGGCTTGCCATTTTTCTGTGCAATATTATTGATGTAAAAGTACTCTGAATTTCGAACAATCACTTACAAAATTACGATGTTTACTTAAGACCTTAAATAAAGTATTTTTGCGTACTTTATGTGTCTTGTAAAGTATAACGTACGCACAGTCGAAATAGAGCACAATACTTTATAATAAAGTACGGGTGGCAACCCTAACTATGAATTTAAAATTTACATTATACATGCCAGAGTTGCCTGTAACGAACGTTGCATTGAAGGGTGCTTACGTCTCAAACGATCGCCATTACGAACTCGACCACGTGGCCGAATTAATGGGGGACATCCGTTGCATGATTTCGTTACATAGCAACTCGCATGAAACGAACTTACCCTACCGTGCGTAAAGAAGTTTCACTTCAGAAATGTAGATAAGAATAGTACATTACGTGTCGAGGGAAGAAACAGGGTTTTTTCAGACTGCATTCACATGCAGATGAGATAACCCTGTTTCTTCCCGAGGTACGTATAGTATTTTTGTCATGTTTCTGCGGAAAGCTCGTCATTAAACTGATAGTTGGAGAAATAAGAGTAAATGATTTAGAGGTTAGAAAGACATTGTCATTAAACAACCGATTTCTGCGCATGCCCATAAACTTCAGCGCATGCGATTAAAAGACTAATTTCATTGCCTCCCTACTAAAACATGGCTGAAAAGAGGTCATATCGCCATATCTTCCCTATTTCATAGCACGCAAAACGAGCTTTCCGTGCTAACATGACAAAAAAATATCTATCTTTCCAGAAACATTTATTGGATTAATAAATTGATCCTTAAAATAAATTAGGACCAAATTTGCTTAGGAGTGAGAGTAATTTTTGCCCTCGCATTAATATAATAAAATTAATAAGTATACGTCAAAAATGAGAAGTATACTTACCTCTACAATGGGAATGTTTACATATGAAAATTGTCGGAAATCTTCGATAGGGGAAACTTTCTTCCTCCGAAAATGTTGCAAATATCATTTTTTGATAAACGACAAAAAATAAACTTAAGACACGTACTATTCAAAAAAGAAAATGATTGACGTAGATATTTATCAATCCTTCAAAAAAGTTGGGGAAAATTGTAATTAAGGATAATAACAATTTTCGCATTTGTCATATTTTAAGAAAATTGATGTCATCTTCCTTATTATTAAACTATTTTCAAGTGTATATTAGACATTTAAAGTTAACAGTTCGTAGGAAAAAAATATTAAAAGCTTTGTCATTCAGAATATTGGGGTAGGTATTATGTATTTTTTATTTGCCAATGTACCAATATAAACATGTATTAATTAAGTGTTGTAGGAATTATGTACTTAATCGTATAAAGCTCTATTATATTTTATTTGCTATTTGTATAATGCTACAAATACAGAGTGGCTATTGTGGACAATGTAAAAATTTAAATGCCGAACAGAAATGGAAAAACCACAAACTCCGATTTCTGTTCAACTAAAATTTTTCGTGTTACATTATGGCTTATAAAGGAAAGCTGAAAGTAAAATCTTATTTAGTAGTGAAACAGAGTTGCATTTTACTTAAAGATAAATACGAATGCATTTACAAATCTACATAACAAATAGGCATTTTCTTTGACAGTAAGATTACACTAGAATAGTTATTTACCGCATATATATAATAGTAATGATAATTGCACATTGAGCTGTTTCATGGACAATTCAAATTATCTTTAACATTTTAAATACCTACTTACATTATTATGTGTTCACTTCAGTATATATACAATATCTTTTTTCATATATTCGAATTATCCATAAAACAGATACAGCGACATACTTAATGTATAAATAAATAATAATTTATCCGGTATATATAAGATAGCATTTGTATAAATTTAGAATTCACAATTTGAGTAATGTTAAAGACCTATACCTTTGATTAACTGAGAATAACATTTACATGTATAGTTCATTCAAAGCTAAATATCCTTAAATAGTTTCGAACTTAAATAACATATTAATTTAATAGAATTTGACGGAAATAAACTTAGTGAGATTATTTTTTTCTTTTTATTTTTTGCCTACTTCCTTCATCGCTTCAAGAAGTTCCTCCATTTCTTCGGAAAGTTTATGTTGGTCTTTTACTTGTCTGAAAAGGAAAACGTGTTAACATTTTATTGTAAACTAGCAGCGACACCCGGCGTTGCTCGGGTTAAAATACATCTCATGTCTAACGGTATATAAAATATTTAAGGATCCACTTTTTAACGAAGATAATATAGATTTCTATCTTAGATATTGGGAGACTTACCCCCGGTTTCCTGGTCGCTGATCAACGTTAACAATTTGGTTAAATTGATTAGAGCCAATCGCGTTCCACTATTATTCAAAATAGGAGTAAATGATAGGCTAAATTCAGTTAAACCGATTTGTTAACTTTAATCATCGCCCAGGAAATCGGCCCTTAGTCGACCATTAAACATGCGGTGTATAACTTTCCAGATTATTTCAGATATTTCTAGAACTTTCTGGAACATTCCATATCGATTTTAACAGTTGCACACAATTTGGAACTTTCTAGATCATTCCAGAAATTTTTAGAACTTTCCAAAAGGTCTCATAAGTTAGAAAAGGACAGACATTTTCGCCACCCACTTCCACCCACCGTCACCAAACTCCTTTACTTTCAGCAGGAGACCAAGGGGTATTTACCACCCCAACGGGAAGTTGGTAGGAATTGGTGGTGAAAGAGAAAACCCTGTCTTTTCGTACGCACATTAGCATGTTATATACATATTCAGATTAGGAAAAGGTTTACACTTTTACTTACTTGTCTTTTTTACCCTCTTTAGTTTGTTTACTTTCTTCTCCTGGAAAATAATAAAATTGTAATCAATGTCAAGACAATTTTAATGTTTAAAGGTTTATGACAAACATAAATGGAACATATAACATACATGTATCTACATACACATATGTGTAAATATATAAAATATAAATATATGTAGAGAAACAGATGCACAACAGTAATCGTTTGAATATGAAGGTTTAAAATGGCTTAAAACTTAAAACAAAAGGATAAATTTCAAATTGCGCGTAGGAAAATTCCAAATGTAAGAAATCGCAAAGTAATATATTCTGGAGATGAGATTGATAGTGATTAATAGTTCTCATCTGTGACTGCTCCAACCTGTAATTTTGTCACAAACTTTTTATGGGGGTGAGACCGCCACGAACTTTTTGTGGTACAGTGGTGGGGGAGACCTCCTCTTTCGATCCCCCCACCCCACCCCAATGGAGGTAGGGGCCATCATCTAGACCTTTACCTTCTATTCTCCTTTTCTTTCTAAAACCTCTTAATTTCTAACCTTCCCTATCCACGGTATCCTTATCATTCATCTGTAACATCACACTTCGAAGGCTTCTAACCTTTTCTTTTCCGCCGCGCCCACCGTCCATGTTTCTCACCCGTACAGCGCCGCGCTTCAGACATACATATTTAACAGACTTTTTCGAATTTCTAAATTAACCGATTGCGAGCATGGAAGTGACTTCTTTTTTATGTAGGCGACTCAACCCTGCGTTATCCTCTGTTTTACATCTCTACTACTCCTTCCATTCTGAAATATTTGACTTTCTAAATACCGAAAATCCGTTACTCCTATTGATATATCTCGTTCTTTTCTTATTTTTTCTTCCCTTGCGTACCAGTACTTTTGTTATATTTTTATTTATTTTCATACAGTAACTCAACCCTGCGTTATCCTCTGTTTTACATCTCTACTACTCCTTCCATTCTGAAATACGTGACTTTCTAAATACCGAAAATCCGCCGCTTCTTTTAATTTTTCGTCTCCTATCTTTATATTCGCTCGACATTACATACATTATTAAAATTNACCCACCTCCACTCTTTCCCATGCTGAGCTAATCTTCGCATTTGTCTAAAACTAGAACATCCCACATCCTTAACTATTTGTGAACAGTAATCTAATCTAGATCTACCTCTACTCCTCTTAACTCCTATTTCTACCTCTAATATGTCTCTGACTAGACCTTCATGCCTGAGAAAGTGTCCTACCAACCTATCTCGCCTATTCCTTATTGACTTCCATAGAGTTTTCTGTTCTCCTATTCTTTTTAATATCTATTCATTTCTAACATTCTCTATCCATGGTATCCTCATCATTCGCTGTAACACCACATTTCGAACGCTTTTAACCTTTTCTTTCCCGCCGCGTGCCCACAATCTATGTTTCGCACCCATACAGCGTCGCGCTCCAAACATACACCGTTAAGAATCTTTGTCGAATTTCTAAATTAACCGTTCGCGAACATAGTGACAAGTGACTTCGTTTTATTAAAGGCGATTTGACCCTGCGCTATCCTCTGCCTTATATCCCTACTTCTCCTTCCGTTCTGACATTTCTGACTTCCTAGATACCTAAAATCAGTCACTTCTTCTAATTTTCTTTATATTAGTTCCTTTCCTACTTATTCTGCTCTTGCAAACTAGTATTTTTGTTTTACTTTTACTTATTTTCATAGAATACTGTTTTGTTAACACCTCTTCCATTTTCTTTATATTAGTTCCTTTCCTACTTATTCTGCTCTTGCAAACTAGTATTTTTGTTATATTTTTATTTATTTTCATACAATACTGTTTTGTTAACACCGCTTCTAATATCACTAATATATCAGCTACCTCATACAATTTACTAATTCCGTTTAAATTGTGTTTTCAAAACGGTCGTATTCAGTCAACTGTTGAAAATAATATTTTTTTACGACTTGTTTTATTGTTCCGATACATTGCTGTTTTGAAAGATGAGAAATAAAATTTAGTTAAGTTCCGATAAGCCTCTGTTATAAAAATGCAGAACCAGACGCAGAAACAGAGGTGGAAAAGTGTGCGGAACTTCCGCAATTGCAGAAGCGGAAACAGAAGTCTGTTGCAACACTAGTCTAAACCTCTAGAGCATAGCGTTCGCTTGCGTAAATGAGATCTAAAACGTCATGTATACTGTACCGCGTAGTTTTATTTAATAGTTGCCTAATTTTGTCCTTTTTAAAAATGTTTTTTTTAAGAATGTTGTCACTGCGACGCTTCTGTCACTGTGACAAAATCACAGGTTGCCAAATCACAGTCCTATTTTAGTAATTCATAGTAAGAATAACAAAGCAGGCAAAACATACTCAACGGTAATTACCATAAGTAGCTTCTGAAAAAACGGACATGTGTTTTTCCTACTTTTAATTGTGGGCGGAACAAGTATTCGTTTTTTAAAAAATTACTTGTGGTACTTAGTGGTAAGTTTCTTTTAGTTTATATTCACAATGCATTTATTTTATTTTCTGAATTAGTTGGATAAAACGCACTGTGAATTATTGTGAATTTGAACAACTTAACTGTTCAATTACAAATTACTTTGTGCCATTTTAAAATTTAAGTGTTTAGTAAAAATGCACTTAGAAATGTAAATATTTCTGTATGTAATTTAGGAAGGTATTTTAAGTATTCTTAAATAGATAAATAAATCTTTCCTTGACAAATTGAAATGATTTTCACAAATATTGTAAGATGTTGCAAAAGGACGACGACGGTTACAAAAAAAGGAAAAAGTACATTCAAGGTGTTTCATGCTACTCTTGGTTGGTCTTTACATTTTAATAATTAAAAATGGCTTTACCGTGGTGAAGAGATAGTAAACAGTACCAAGCAATATGTTCACAAACTCTTACATAATTAATAAAAACATTTAAATGCAGGATCTGAAAGGGGACATTAAACGAACAAAACTTTTATGTACCATACGGGTTAATATTAAAACGCCAATCATGTTCTCTGGGATCCACTTCAGTTTGATCGTCTATACTGATGTCGTACTTCAGTAGGCGCCTTTGGAACCCTTGCACTATGAAATTTTAATTCAATAATGGAGTAGTAGAAATTGAGTTTGTTGTGTAATTAAAATAAAAGCGCTAAATACTGGAAATACCAAATATTATAAATTAAGGTGTAGCCTGTTCATGAAATACATTTATCGTAAATATACTTCGTTTACTTTCTGTAGCGACCTTCAGTTTGACCGGCGCAAAGTAGAAAAGAATAGCACTAGGCCACAAAAGAAAGGAGACAACTCTCGGCCACACTCTTAACCGGTGAGGAGCGTTTAATCCGTACAGTATTGCACGGAAAAATTGACCATTTTATCCACTACAATTGCATTGATCAAATGTGCTGTTATTGGTATCATTTACTACTGAAGACATATTAAAGGCTTTAACGATTGTTTTCGACTCGCGCTACTATTCATGATTGAACAAAACTTTTGGCAGGTACTGTATGAAAAAGTATGTTTAATGAACAAGAGTCGAGAGTATAATGAGCTTTTTTCTCCCTACCTACGATTTTGCCAGCGCGCATCAAAGGCATTAGAAGGGGCACATCGCTAGAGAAAGTAAATGAAGTACGAGGGTGGATTGATAAGTTTCCGGCCTAACCAAGAGATGACGCCACTAGGCCTACCTTGAGGTGACATTCTATAGTACCATCCTTGGATAGCTTGTAGCTATAGTTTCAGCCCGATCTCCTTGCTAGTGTAGGTTTGACAGCACGCTGAACAAGACGCCTCTGTGGTTTTCGTAAAAATGGAAAAGCAGGAAAATCGTGCTGTCATCAAATACTTTTATTTGAAGGGGTTAACGCCGAAGGAAATTAAAAAAGAGATGGACTCAACACTGGGGACATCCTCCCCGTCATATTCAACCGTTAAGCAGTGGGTTTCCGAGTTTAAAAAGGGTCGTGTGAGCACCTCTGATGGGCCTCGCTCAGGACGCCCCGTTGAGGTCACAACTCCAGATATGATCGAAAAAATTCATCAAATAGTGCTGGGAGACCGCAGATTGAAAGTGCGTGAGATAGCTGAGACCTGTAAGATGTCATATGAACGTGTGCAACATATTTTGCACCAACATTTGCATATGGAAAAGCTCTGTGCAAGATGGGTGCCGCGTTTGCTAACAGTCGACCAAAAATTGATTCGAAAAAACATTTCTACCGCAAATTTGTCATTGTATAAGCGTAATCCAAGCGAATTTTTGCGTCGATTCGTAACCGTTGACGAAACGTGGGTCCACCACTACACTCCTGAAACCAAAGAACAGTCTAAACAGTGGATTGGACCAGGGGAACCAACTCCAAAGAAGGCAAAAACAATTTTTTCGGCGAACAAGGTTATGGCTACTGTTTTTTGGGATGCAAGAGGTATTATATACATTGATTACCTTGCAAAGGGTAATACTATCACTGGTCAATACTACGCAGACTTATTGCAACGTTTGAGCCACGAGGTGAAAATTAAACGACCTCATCTGGCGAAGAAAAAAATCTTGTTTCATCACGATAACGCACCAGCGCACACGTCAATCGTTGCGACGGCTAAAATCAACGATCTAAAGTTTGAATTGATGCCGCACCCTCCTTACTCTCCAGACCTAGCCCCGAGTGACTATTTTCTGTTCCCTAATCTCAAAAAATGGCTTGGCGGTAAGAGATTTGCGGACAATGAAGAAGTAATCGAAGCTGTAAATGGTTATTTTGAGGAGCTTGACGAATCAGTCTATAGAGATGGCATTAATAGACTGGAACACCGCTATGAGAAATGTATCAGCCTTGGAGGAGATTATGTTGAGAAATAAAAAAAAAAAATTTTTAAAAACCTTGTTTTTCTTGGTCAGGCCGGAAACTTATCAATCCACCCTCGTATATCTACATATTCGTATCCGTGACTATAATAACTGGACTGGTTGGTCAATCTGAAAATTGTGTGAAGTTATTGTACTTGGTCTAGCAAACAAAAAAGTTTGACCTCAAAAATTGTGCGGCTTCTTTATTTTAAAGCTGCTAAAGTTTGTAAATTGTGATTACTGGATCTAATATTTATAGGCTTTCATATATAGTATATGCGCTTCATATATATACAATAAATAAATATTATATCACGAATAGTTTCATGTATTAGGAAATTTATAATCGCGTAAAGGTGTGTGGCTACACGGCCCGTCCACTTGTGGGGTAAGAACTCCGCAACACATAAAAATGTCGAATCAACGAAATACATCGCTGTTTGTACAGCAGTTTATATTATACTGAGTCTGGTATTTCAAAAAAAATGAATATCTTCAGTTTGATGTAAAAAAAATCATATTATAGAAAATTAGTGGATTTTCAAGTACTGATATACATCATTTAAAATTTCCATATGCATAACGTAATTTTATAATACTTTTTTACTTTAACTGCATTGAATATTCTAGTTGCATACGGCGAATGTTTATCCAAAATAAAGTAAACATTTCCGTACTAGATATTTTTAAGGAATGAAGCGTTTCCTTTGACATGTATCGCCAACAACTGAAAAAGAACAGGTTAGTATGAGCCTTCTCGTACCTGACGCGTCGGAACACAGTCCGTGTAACCGAGTCTTAAACCATTATGGTAAATAAGACTGGGCAAATCATCCAATTAATTGCTTATTAATCGATTTTTAATTAATTAATTATTTTCAGTTTGTAAAAATAATCGATTAATCCGAATAATAATATAATAATAAATCGGAATAATTGTTAAATGGTATAGTCGCCCTGCTCTACTATTATCGTAATTGGAAATAAAACTAAAATTATATTTCGAATCAGCGTAAACGAAGCATACGATATTGTAGCGAGCACGAGTGTGTTTGTGTGCGATCAGGCACACGTGTGCGTGAACGGCTTACCGATTCGTCGACTAGCAGCGGGCGCCTTTCTTCATGTGCGCCGTATTTGTAAATGTGTGTGTCGTATCTGCGTTCTGGGAAAGCAGTTAAACAGTTCAAAGGAAAAATAAACTATCCGGATGTTTCCAGAAGGTTCCAGAAAGTAAACAAAAGAGTATTTAAAGGAAGAGACGATCACCGAGAAGAAGAAATAGATTGACCGTTGCAGAAGTGAGTTCAGAAATAAATTAACAATGATAGAAGTGAAATAAATAGCGCAGTGAATAGTGATATATCAACAGTAGTGTAAATAAATAGAATAATTCATAACCTAACTTTAGTTATAAATTTAATAGTGTTTTTAGGTTCTTTAATAATTAGTGTAAATAAATAGTTTTTGTCGTTATCAATTTATTGTGTAGATATGATTAGAAAACACTGTAACCACTAATTCAACGATGCGATTGTGATGAAATAAAAATTAAATTGTACTTCTCTTCTCCCATGATTGTTCTAAAAATTCTATCTGAATTTTGTCTGCAGCGTTTATGTGATGTGCGACAAGACAAACAGATAAATACACAAAATTTGCTAATGCATTACAAACCCTTAAAAGTAAGTTTAAAAATATTTCCGTTATACAGGCACGCGCGAAGTTTTCAGTGTTAGTACATGTAGAGAACTGAATATTTACAAAAACTATCGATATGAGTTTTTGTTATGAATACCCACCTTTAACAGCAGTGTCGGATTCTTTGACAGTGGCGGCACTCTGCGGATGATCTGACGATTCTCCTGCACATAATTAAACAAATAAATAAGATTTTCGAACGGTTCTGATTAGAGAGGCGGTTTGTTTTAGTGAGTTAAACATGCAATATACATATATATGTTTATGTAAATAGTTTTGCAAACCAAACAAAAATAGACTTACCATAAAATCAAACAAATATCGGACATAAAATACAGAAGAACTAAACTTGTGTCTAATAATGTAACGAAAACTATTATAAGGTTTTAATGTTTAACAAACCTGCGCTACTTTCGGCTATCGATGTTAGTAACTTTTGAACATCGGACGTTAGTTCTTGACCTTTTGCCAAATTCGAAATGTCAACCGAATATATATCTGTTTGCCTTTGGCCACTTTTCAGTATATTATATTGTAAACTATCGTCACCTTGGGGATCTTGTTGCTGAAGTACGATTCTTTTTCTAATCGTCTTTTTAGTGTGAATATTTCCGAATTCGTCAACTTCCGTTTCTTCTGTCTCTTCTTTTGGTTCGACAGTTTCTAAGTATTTTCTGAGCTGTTCATCAGCGTCTTCTCCAGTAAACGAAACTTTAGTAATTGTGGGGGGTAGTTCAATTTTCCGTCTAATAACTTGACCGTATTGCTCATCACTTTTCAGAGGTTCCGCTATTTTTGTTTCAGCACCGACAACGACTTGTTTTGTGACTATCCTTTTTCTGTGGACGTTTCCAAATTCATCAATTTCGGTTGTTTCCTGAACCTGTTCTTGACTTGGACCGACGGTTTCCAAATACTTTCTTAGTTCTTCTTCCGCATTCGGTCCGGTAAACGTAACCTTTTGTACGGTGGTTGGCATTTCAATTTTTTTGTGAATAATATGTGAGTATTGATCATCTTCGGGTAAAACTTGATATTTTTCGGATACGTAGGGTTCGATATTACTAGGATCGTCATACCATAACTTATCGATTGCTGCAGATAAATTGATGGTTTCGGTATTGGGATCAATCGCTTCTGTAGAAGACACCATAGTGTTGGAGCCACTAGTAAAACTTCCTGAAAATATTGAATCTGTTTCGTTATGGTACGTAGCATGTGTTGCAGTTGACGTCGATATTTCTAATAAATTTTCGGTATCTTCTGGGAGAAATTCTAAAATTTGTTGTTTTGTTTTATCCACAATTTCTTCTCTAACTGACGAACTAAAGTCTTTTCCGCTACTAGAAGTACTGTGCTCTGGAATTCCAATACGGGAGCCTTCTTCGTCTATTGAATCACTCAGGACCCCTTGGTTTACATCGGTAGTACCCAATTCTAACGAATCACTTAAGGTCATTACATAGCTTCCATCCCTTTCGTCTTTATTGTCGAAGCTGTCGCTGCGCATAACGTCTTTATCGGTTTTTTGCTTACTTTGATATTCGATGGAGTCTGTGCTCGCGGTCATCGGATCTCTTGCTGTTGTTTTTTGATCTAAACTATCCGTGCTGTCATGATGAGGTGATTTGTCTAAATTTAAATCTAAAGAGTCTGTCGAATTTACCATCGGATCATCATTTGTTTCCACCCACTGAACTTTTGTGGCTTTTTGCATTGGTGTGTCAAGATCTAAATCAGGAATTTTCGAAACTTCTTCTAAAGAATCTCCTCGACCTATTGATTCTGGCTTTTCGTCGTCTTTGAAATCGATGAACTTATCCATGCTGCATTGGGCTTGTTTAATAATTGCGTCTATTTCGAGCATTTTGTTATCAGAGTCTGATGAATGTGCTTTTTTGCCTGTGCCCGATAATGTTTCACAACTTTCCGATTCTGATGCGACACTTTCGTGACCTTCTTCAATTTGAGTGAGTAGCGCCTCTTCTTGCTTGACTTTTTCTTCTATTTTATGAACGGCAATACAAGCTTTTTCTAGTCCTTCGAATTCTTTGAGTGAATTAGTAGAAATGTCGTCAACCTGACCATTTTTACCAACGCTATATCGTTTTCCGTAACTACTTCCACTTGTACTTGAAGAATCTTGAGATCCTTGGTGGGGTTTTTTGTTTTCTAGTGACATTGCACGTTCTAAGTTTTCAAATTCTTGAAGGCTCGACATAGAAACGTCATCGTGTTCACCTGAACGTGTGAAATATTTTCGACCTGCTAACACGTCATACTCTGGAGTGCTTGAATAGGAATCTTTTATACTTCCAGCGCTTCCGTCTTTGTGAGAACTTAAGCTTCCTATTCTGCTAGAATCAAAATCGGCGACCTCTTCCTCTTTGATATCTTCTAAGGGAGCTCTTTCGAATTCCATTTCGTAACCATAACCGGCCGCCATAGTTGCCTGATCCCCTTGAAATTGTTGTTCAATCCATTTTCGATTTCCTTCTAATTCTTGTTCATAAGAATGAAAATATTCTTTCGTTTTGGAATCCGGTTCGCTTGCGCTTTTTAATTCTGGCATAGGTGGACTGCTTTCGAAATCGAAGGCGAGATCGTCTTTTGTTTCTTGTGTTTTTCCAGTTGAAAATTGTGCTTGTTTCGACGACGATTGTATTAAATAGTTTTCTACTTCTTCGTCATGCTTTTTGGTAGGTTTTTTACTGTACTCTATTCGTACACTTTTTCCTTCTTGATCTTGTTCACTAGCCTCTTTGGCAACTTCTTCTATAACGACAAAATCGTCAATTAAGTCAGGCTTTTCTAACATTTCGAAAGAATCGCTATCGGGAGATTCTGACGTAGGTTCGGCTTCCTTGTCCTTTCCACTTTTTGCAACTTTGTGTGCTGTAATTGGCGTTTCTTGTCTTGATTCGATTAGAGGTTTTTCGGTTTTTGTAATTTGTGCAGCGGCAGGAGGAACAGTTGTAGATTTGGTTGAATCTTGTTGTAAGACATATACTTTACCTTGATCTGATTCTTCGGAGGTTTTGCTCGAGGCTGAAGCTGGTGTTTCAGGTGTTGAATTGTCCGGTGCGGCTTGCTGCTCTTCAAGTTCTAAGTCAGGATAATGGAATCCTTTGTCTTTTAAAGGAGCCATATGCTGCGTGACTGTAATGCCAGGTAACGGTTGTTCATCCTGGGAATCTCGCCTTTTTTGCGATCTCTCTTCGACTTCTTTGGGATGTTCTGCCTCGTCTTCTAAAATTGGAGCTGCTACTTTTGTTTGCTGATTAATGATTTCTTCACGTTGCGTATACTTTTTATCGTATTCTTTTTCATCCGTTTCATATTCAAGTAATTCTCCACTTATAAAATCATCACATTTCTGCTTCATTTCGATATTCGTCATGTACGGAATTTGTCCTGTTTGACCAAGCAATGAACTTTCCGATCGCCTGTGTCCCCTTTTTTTAGGTTCAATTGTTTCGATTTGTTGCTGTTGTGCTTTATCTTCATCTACGGCCTTTGAAACTATTTGTGTACTGGCATATGACGTGTTACCTTCGGTAAATGTCGAGCTGGTTAACGTTACCGAATCCATTGGCACTTCTATTACAGTAGATGCTGTCGACGTGTAACTCTCGGTGGTACTCTTCATCTCGCTTTGCATTTCTTTCTCGAGATAACTTGGAGATTCTTCTCCGCTAAACTTTCGTAATGTAGATAAGTCGTCTGTCGATGTTCTTCGTATTAACTCGTCGTCTACGGGTTCCTGTTGGAAAGTCATTTCGTGAGAACGTTTCATTTTCGAAGGGGTGTCAAAATGTTGTGCTTTTATTTCCTCTCCAATTTTTTCGTGAAAGTCGTCGATTACCTCTACCGGTTCCAAAATGTCGTTTTCGTTTTCAAGAGCTGACGGAACGAGAGTTTCAGATGCTTCGGAAGCTTCAAAACTCGCCAAGTTGCCAGAACTCTCGCTATCTAAGCTTTTCATACTTTCTTTTGAAGTCAAGGAACTTATTGCAGTATGATAATCTGACATGCCGTGGGACAGTCCCGATGTTTGTTGAGAAGTTAATGCGCTTTCGTACTCCGACGAAGCGACTACGTTTAGCCCTTCGAAATCTGAAGAGCACGGTCTACTTTTGCTACTGTCTATTTCGAAACTTTGATAATGACTTTCGCCCGAGCTAGAGTAACCCTCGAAGTCTGTTCCTGAACGTCTATCTCCGGCACTCTTTAGGTTGCTTGTGCTGCTACTTGTTTGATCTTTTTTAAATGAACCACTTTTTCCTCCTTGCTCGGTATCGGTTCTGCTGCCCTCTGGAGATTGAAATGAATCTTCTTTACTTGATTTCGATCCCGAACTATGCGTTTGAACCGTCTGATCTTTGTCGTCTTCAGAAGTTTTATGCGTAATTGTTTTATGTATGGTTTCATCTTCTATTTGTTCTACTGATGTAGCTTTCTTTTCTGTTTCTTTTGCTACTTCAGTTGACTCATCTTGCACTATTTTTTCTTCTTTCTCGTCAACATATTTTGTTTCTTTTTCTTCTGTAATCAAATCGTGATCGAGGTGTTGTTGCTTAGTCTCTAAAGTGTCTAAAGCAGGCATTGTTTCAGTGAAGACCTTTTGCTGTTTTTCGGCTTCAAGTTGTTCTAAAATGTACGAACGACTGCTGGATGGCGAAAAGTCTATTTCCACACCGCTATACTTTAAATCTTCGTCCGTTATTTCTACGCTTGAAGCATGAGTTGCGTCGTCTTTGCTTTTTAGTCCTCTTTGTTTTCTTGCTAATACTGACTCAACTAGTTGCATTTCGCGCTTATCTAAACCTTTTTCTTCCGCCAATTTCAATAGAGATGTTTTAAGTTCCTTGTCACACGTGAAAATTCCACCTGGAATGGATTCAGTAGCGCTTGGCGTGAGCGGTTTACATTTCTGTATTTCTTTTTCAATGTCGTCCATCAACGACGCTGCCATTTTTTTAGCTTCGTCTAAGGTAATGCTATCGTCGCTTAGACTTTGTATCAAAATATTTTCAACTTGGAGTTTTCTTGTTGGACCTAATTCTTCAAATGCCTCTTGATCTAAAGAAGATTGTGCAAGCGAACTGAGTTTGTTATTTTCGACACTGAATTCGGGAGCTTGCTCGTCGATTGTTTTGGAAACTTGTACCGGCGTTTCCCAAATGGTACTTTCCATTTTTTCTTCGGGTAAATTGATTGGAGACTTTAATATTGCTACTCTTTCTTTCGCTTTCGGTTTTTCTGCTCTTTTATTATCTGACTCTTTTTCGAGCTCTTCGATTTCGCTTTTATCAACGTGTAAGTCTATATCTCGATCTTTGTGCGTATCAAATTTGATTGTTTCGTCTTTTATTTTGTGCGTTTGTTGTGATGTAATTTGATGAGACTTGTGCGTTTCAGCCGATAAATCAGTCTCTTTAATCAGCGATGATTCTGATTTTTCTGTAAATGCTTCTACTTTGTGAAAAAGGCTGTCCATTTGTTTACTGTCTTTTATTTGAGTTGTGGTTAATGAATAATCGTAGAGGCTCTTTTCTGATTTTAAAAATTCATCTGTTGTCATTACAACGTTTTTGGAATATAAAATTTCTTGTTGTTCATATAAGGTATCATCTTTTAATTTTTCTGTTTCAGATTGTTTCTGAACATCCTTAGATGTTGCCATTTTTGAAACTTCTTCACTTATCTGCTCGATTTCGTCATCGGTAGTGGCTTCAGGAGCACTTCTTGTTTCCGAAAGTTTTTGTTCCTCTTTTGAATTGTCCATTTCGAACGATTTGTACTCGGGAGGTAGTTCCTCTTCAAATTCGGTCGATAGCTGTTCGACAACCATGCCTTTCTTTATTTGCTCCTCGATATGTTCCTTTTTTAATTTCAATTGGTTTTTAATATCGTATAGGTCCTGTGTTGGCAATGAAAGTGATCTTTCGTAGATCGATTTTCTTCCAAGTCCCGTTGTCGGATAGAATACGCTCATTTGTCTCTCTCTGATCTGCGGAACGCGATCTTCGATTTCGGAATCAGATATGTAATGTTCGACGTCTTCGCTATCAGAAATGTAACCGGTGTTATCGTAACCTCCTTGGTTAGGAGCAGCTTCTGATTGTGAGTCAAAGCTATCCGTTCGTTTTATTGTCGTCGATTCCACGTCTGTGCGCTGTTGTTTACTCTGTCTAGGTTTAGGTACCGGAGGAGGAACAATTTCACTAAAAGTAACTTCTTGCTTCTTTGAACTTTTGCTAGTATCTGCTTCAGATTCCTGTGACGATATGCTCTCCCAGAATTTTTTCTTTTCACTATATGTTATACTATCCACGCGAGAATCTTCTTCTTGAGGGGTAGGCTTTTCTGTTGTTATTTGTGTTTCGTTAGTTTTGGTTAGTAATAGAACCGAAGGCGTGGGTTCAGTTCGTGAAGCGGTTAGATCAGTAGTTTCATTACGGGTTAGTTGTCCGAGGACGGCGTCTAGAAAGATGGGTTATTGTCATTAATACTAGCTGGCAGCTAAGGGTGAGCATAGAGGCAATGTTAACGTTAAATGAAAAGCACCTTTTAAGTTCATGTGACAAACCAACTTACCCTTGTACAGATACACACACACGCACACAAACATGTCAAATTTAAATGCAAAGCTAAACATTGCGATAAAGAATTCATTTTTGTTTTAATCACATGCGGACAAAAACAAACATATCGGGCCCTTGTCGATGTTGTTCACCGATGGTGGTTAGATACTTTTAATTACCTAAAGGAGATGAATTAAGTGTGCAAGGTTGCCTTTTGGCGTTCTGTTTTCTTGACTTTTTGGTCGTTTCTCTGTTCTTGTTGTGTGAATTATTTTCGCTATCCACTGATAGTTTTGATTCGTTCGAAAACAAGCTGGACTGACTCAGCCAAGAAGTGAGTGCTTCGGTTAATGATCCTGATAGGCAATCGTTACTATTGTAGGGCTTGGAGGTTGGTTTTACCCTACTTTCTGAATTTAAACATTCCTCAGAAGCGGTGCGTGAGTATTTAGAAGAAGGGGGTGTTAGAAATTTTTCAGGACCGATTTCTAATATCGATTCCACAATTCCAGAATGACTGCTGTAAAGAGATTCCGTCGATCTTTGCAAGTCTGGTAAACTGCTACCGCCTTTCTTTCTCTTTGTGCTATAAAAACCCAAATCTGATTGAGGGCGTGACAAATTTTGGTCTGGTTTTGACAAAGGCAATGGTGATGCACAGGGACTTCGCATTATAGGTATGATATCTACTTCAACGCCAGCTTTATTAATGCTATTATTTTCGTTAAACTTTACTGGAGCCATATAAACTACATCACCTATCGAAAATAAAATTAAAATGTACACATGTAGGCAGCATCATGTTGTTCATTTGGACCCGATATGTTTGACTTTTGATTATTAGGAAAATAAAATGTGAAGAGAAAAATAAATATTTACGTATGTGTAATTTGCAAGTGCAAGTGTTTTTAATACGAATCCTACTAAAGAGATAATTTAATTTATACAATATGTATTAAAGCATAAACAATATCTATCGATGTATCTATTTTACGTATTAATGTACTTATCGTACGATAATTATGTAAGGATTAAGTATATAAATATCGGGATTAAGCATAACTACCTTTGATATTATCCTTCTGACTACCTGGCGATCCTACGTCCGCGTCTACCAATAAAGTGTCAATTTCTTCGGTGCATAATGAACTGTATTCGTTTTGAAAGATCGACATTTCTTCGGTACTAATTTGGGAAACGAATCTATTAAATTCCTTTTCCCTTTTATTTTCTAATTCTTCGTTCGTAACGGCCCCCTTTTTTGCTTCTTCCGCTTCTTTTTCTAATATTTCAGATGCCATTCTTTCGAATTTTCGTTCGACCCTATGTAATTTTGGTTCTGTTATTTTGTCTGTGTGCATTTGCTCAATTTCTTCTAATGATTGTAAAGCTTTGTCGATATTTTCAAGCTTTTCGTCGATTGATTTAGTTTCTTTCTCTTTTAGTTCCAACTGTTTTTCATGTAATGTTTCCATTGTGTATTTTGGAAAATCGAAACCCTTTATCTCGGCGGCACTAGCAACATCCTCATCCTCCGACTCCAAGCGAAACATTGGTTTACGTTTTTGGGTCGATTGAGATGCATTTGTGGCTTCTCCTTCCTTACCAATTGGTGTTAAATCTTCCGATTTTACTTCTAGTTCAGCAAGACCCTTTTGTATCGAACTTACACTGTCTTCTATTTCGGACTTGATAGCACTCAGTTCTGTTTCTTTATTCGTGATGTTTGACAATCTTTTACTACTCTTAGGACTAACGTAAACTTGCGGCAGGACTTTATGAGGCTGTTCCTTTTCTATAAATTGTGTAGGTTTGAAATCTTTAATAAATTCCTCCTGAAAATGAACTAGTGTGTCTTGGGTAGTGTCATGTATATCTTTTGCTTTATCCTTAACTTGCCTTAATTCATCTTCAAAAATATCAACATTGTCTGCTATTGCTGTTGTTGATCCTATTTGAGGTATCTCTTCTAATTTTTGTTCGAATTGTTCTTTCAAATCTTGTACTTCTTTCCATTTATCTTGCTCTATTAGATTTGTTCCACTTTCCTGCACTTTATGTAAGCGTTTCTCTACTTCTTGTTTAGTATCATGAAATGGTATTTCTATTTCTTGAACAATGGACTTTTGACTTTCTTTGATTTTGTCGTTTATATTCTCCTTGGTTTGTTTTAAAGTATCCCCTACACTTTGCATTTCTTCTGAAATGTTTGTACTTATTTTATCTGCAGATGTTTGTATTACATTTTCTAAGGCATCCGTTTTATCAGTGACTTTATGACTAATGTTCAATCCAATGTCTGACAATGTTTCTTTTAAATTATCATCAGTTTTATGTAAAATTTCTGCTTTACTGATATCTTCTATCTTATCATCTACTGTCGTTTTAATCGAGTCTAAAGTTTCTTTCAAATCCTGTTTTCGCTTTTCTATCGTATCGTCTATATTAGTAGCAGATGTATGTACCCCGTCTTTAACTAAGTGCAGTTGCTCTTCTATGGCAACACCAGAGGGTATCTTCTTTGAATCTTCTACTTGTACATGCAGAAAATCGGAAGCATTTTTCACTTCATCTTCCACTTTCTCTTTTATATTTGTAGATACTTGTTTTATATTTTGAGATATACTGTGATGGCCATTTATAATGGAATCAAGTTCAGCTGCGCTATTGAAATATGCAGTTTGGGCATCTTTAAGACTTTCGTCCATCTCTTTGGCTTGTTGTATTGTATTGTCTTTCATAGAACTTACAGTGTTTTGTGCTGTATCTAATAATTTTGAACTAACTTCGTTTATATTTTTGGAATATTCATCTTTAATGCTTTCTCCTTTTTCTTGAAGAAATTCGTCAGTTGCAGATGCTTTAACTTTTTCGAATTCCTTTTTCAAATTTTCAAACGTTTCGTTCGAATAATCATGAACTGTGTTTATTTGATCGCTCATGTTGTCGGTAATCGTAGTTGCGGTGGCTTCCACTAACTTTTCAGCTTTATCTACAGTTGAATCTATTTGTTTCGTCTTTATGGAGTATTCTTTTTGAGCATCGTCAAGCGTTTCTTTAAGATTATCATCTGCTTCGTTCGCATACTTTTCAAATGTACTTTCGTTTCGTATATTTTCAAATGTTTTCACCATATCAGAAATTTCCTCTTTGGTTTCCTCAGTTTTATCTTTTAGTTGTTTGAATTTTGTAGTTAAACTCTCCACGTCGTCTATTTTTGTAGACAGAACATCCTTTTCCGTTTCTTCTATTTCGAGGTCTTTCGATAAAGTTAAGTCATCAGTTGTTTTTTTAATAGTGTCAGGTTTGCTTGATTTCGTTGGAGAAATCTTACTTATTTTGTCGGTTATTATTTTTAAAATTCCTCCATGTTTACTCTTTTCTTCGTGTTCTTCACTAGTTTGTGTCGGCTTTTGTGGTATATGAACATTTGGGGAATCGTCATAATTTTGATTCTCCGTTTCTAGGAATGATTTTGTAGAAGCAAGTGTTTTAAGAAAAGCATCATCTTCTTTATCAAACTCTTTCGAGTCGAGAATGATAACTTCTTTTGATAATACGTCCTTTTCCACAATGTGCTCAGAATCATAATGATCTACAGTTGTAGAATCTTTTCTAGTCAATTCTGCATTTAATAAATCTTCTGCTGGTGTTTCTTCCTTAGGTTCTTTGGCTTTTTTATGTTTTTTGTCCTTCTTTCCAAACAAACCACCTAGAAATCTGCTCTTTTTTTCGTCGGTACCTTTCTCTTTCTCATTCACTTCACTATCTTTTGGTGTGATACTTGTGTCTATTGTGCATTCGCCATTGGTTACTTTTGTTGCTTCCGTTTCGTTTTGTCTGTCAGTTTCATCTAATGAGAATGTTACTGACTTTGGCGCTACATCTTTGTGTTCTGCAGTTTCCTTCAAAATATCAGGTTTGTCATAATGAAGACATTCTGAAGTGATGAAATCGTTAGTTTCACTTAAAACAGCTTTTAAATTTGAATCGGCATCTACTGTTTGTTCGTGATCACTTTTAGATTTTGATTTCTTTCCGAAGAAGTTGAAAATTCCACTTTTTCTGTCTTCGCTGTCTTTTTTTGGTGATTTCGATCGTTGTTCCACTGTTTTTTCCAAATCTTTGTATTCTTGAACGAGTTGACTTTTTAAAGCATCCTCTTGAGGCTCAATTTCTTCTTTAATTTCTTTCTGTACAGACTCTTTAAGATTTTCGGCAGCGAAGTGAATTGGTTCTACAGAAGTTTCTAAATATGAAAGGCTTTCATCTTCATCGACTTTTTTTACGGCATTAAAATCAACAGTAGTCTCCTGACTTAGGTAAATGCTTTCCGGTATTAATGCCTCTAAGGTATTATCAGGTTCAGATGATGGTTCTTTACATACTGCAGATTTCGAAATACTACTTGTTGCAGTATCTCTTAAAGCAAGTTGTTCCTTAGTGAGAAACGAGTGCGTGTCATCGATGGCTTGTCGTGCTGCTATTTGTTCTGCTTCGAGAGTTTTCTTATCAGTAATTATATCATTTGAATATTTTTGTAGGGAATCATCCTCAACAATAATGTCTTTCTTTTGTGTTATTTCTTTATTTAATTTTTGTTTATTTTCATCGATCATCGTCTGAACCATTGTATCAGTTACGGGAAGACGATCAGGTGCCTCGGAATCAACTACGCCTTTCTCTGACTCTTTAGATTTTGATTTATGTGCTTTATCTTTTTTAGCTTTTTTAGTGAATAGGGACAAAAATCCCGATTTTTTTGGGGAACTTTCTCGTGAACTTTGAGATTTGCTATCATCTTCTGATGTGGTAGTAATTTCGCTTTCTATTGTTTCAACTGGTTTTTCTTTTACAGGGGATACTAACTTTTCAATTTTTGGTGGGATTTCGTTGCTGCGGAAGTCTATTTCAGTGTTTATAAAAGTTGCAGTTTCCTTTAACAAACTTTCAAGATCAGTCTGTGTTATATCAGTTTCTTGTTTTTCAGCAAGTTTCGTTTGTTTTTTAATAGGTGTTTCTTTTTTAATTAAATTGCTATCGTCAGTTTCCTCTACATTATCATCTGTTAGTTTTTCTGTTAAACTTGTCTCAAACTTTTGCTTTTCAACGGGGGGATATTCTTTTTCTTCGTAAATTTCTTCTTCAACGCTTTCAACTATTTCGTCAATACATTTATCTTGTAGATCAATATTAATGTTATCTTTGGTCTTTTCTAATCCAGGAAGAGGTACTTCATAATTTGTTAATTCAGTATTCAAAAATGTAGACGTCTTCTCCATTAAATGTTTATATTCCTTCTCAGAAGGTAGATCGTCTGTATGAAAATCTTTTCTGTCAGATTTAGGTGTTTCCTTTTTGTCTTTCTTTCCAAAAAGATCAAAGAATCCACCTTTCTTCTGCTCGACAGACTGATCATCTTCCTTGAACAATTCCTTTTCAATCGGTTGCACATTTTCAAGTTTTTCAACTTTTTGTAATTCCATCTTCGTGTCTTGTGGTTGAACAACTTCAACGGAAACTTTGGTTTGTTGTACTGATAAAATTGAACTTGGACTTTTTTCAAGTTCATTGATCTTCTTTTCCTTTTCGAGTACGTCAATTTCCTCCTTTTTCACTTTCATCGTTTCCGTTTCAGGCGCCTGTGTTACAATTGTTTCTTTCTCCAATTGCTGTTCGACTTTTGATGAACTTTTTTTATCCTTCTTTCCAAACAATCCAAAGAAACCACTTCTACGTTGTTCTGTAGAGCGACTTTTATCTTTATCTGCTTGACGTTTGGTCACTGCATGTTTATCTTCCTCAGTCATTTTTGTAGTATCTAATTGTGTCAAATCTCCCTTCACGTCCTCTTTATTAACCATTTTTTCAGAGGGAATTGTAGTCACATCCTTTCTACATTGAAGTTGTTGTGTTTTTAAAGGATCGGACTCATAATTTTGCAGTTCGTTGTTTACGAACGATTTCGTGTTCTCTAATAATTCTTTAAATTCTTCGGTGTATGCTTCATTAGCTTGCAATGAATCATGTTTTTCTTTTTTACTGAATAGATTGAAGAAACTAACCTTTCCTTCTTCAGTTTCCTTAGTAGATGGGGTAACTTCTCTTTTGGTTGGAACAGACTCAGCTACTTTTGGTTCTCTCATATCCTTTTCTTTTATAATTATTTCAGTGGGAATAGTAGTCACCTCCCTTGTACTTTGTAGGTGTTGCTTTGCAGTAGGTTCACTCTCGTAATTCTGTAATTCGTTGTTTACGAATGATTTCGTGTTCTGTAATAATTCCTTAAATTCTTCGGTGTATGCCACATCACCTTTCGAGGAATCGGGTTTTTCTTTTTTACCGAATAAATTAAAGAAACTGATTTTTCGTTCTTCACTTTCCTTAGTAGAAGGAGGAACCTCCTCTTTTTTGATATGAGTAGACTCAGATCCTTTTGATTCCTTCACATCCACTTCTTTAATGATTTTTTCAGTGGGAATTGTAATTACCTCCTTTCTACTTTGAAGAGGTTGTTTTTCAATGGGATCACACTCATAATTTTGCAGTTCGTTGTTTACGAACGATTCCGTGTTCTGTAATAATTCCTTAAATTCTTCGGTGTATGCCACATCACCTTTCGAGGAATCGGGTTTTTCTTTTTTACCGAATAAATTGAAGAAACTGATTTTTCGTTCTTCACTTTCCTTAGTAGAAGGAGGAACCTCCTCTTTTTTGATATGAGTAGACTCAGATCCTTTTGATTCCTTCACATCCACTTCTTTAATGATTTTTTCAGTGGGAATTGTAATTACCTCCTTTCTACTTTGAAGAGGTTGTTTTTCAATGGGATCACACTCATAATTTTGCAGTTCGTTGTTTACGAACGATTCCGTGTTCTGTAATAATTCCTTAAATTCTTCGGTGTATGCCACATCACCTTTCGAGGAATCGGGTTTTTCTTTTTTACCGAATAAATTGAAGAAACTGATTTTTCGTTCTTCACTTTCCTTAGTAGAAGGAGGAACCTCCTCTTTTTTGATATGAGTAGACTCAGATCCTTTTGATTCCTTCACATCCACTTCTTTAATGATTTTTTCAGTGGGAATTGTAATTACCTCCTTTCTACTTTGAAGAGGTTGTTTTTCAATGGGATCACACTCATAATTTTGCAGTTCGTTGTTTACGAACGATTCCGTGTTCTGTAATAATTCCTTAAATTCTTCGGTGTATGCCACATCACCTTTCGAGGAATCGGGTTTTTCTTTTTTACCGAATAAATTGAAGAAACTGATTTTTCGTTCTTCACTTTCCTTAGTAGAAGGAGGAACCTCCTCTTTTTTGATATGAGTAGACTCAGATCCTTTTGATTCCTTCACATCCACTTCTTTAATGATTTTTTCAGTGGGAATTGTAATTACCTCCTTTCTACTTTGAAGAGGTTGTTTTTCAATGGGATCACACTCATAATTTTGCAGTTCGTTGTTTACGAACGATTCCGTGTTCTGTAATAATTCCTTAAATTCTTCGGTGTATGCCACATCACCTTTCGAGGAATCGGGTTTTTCTTTTTTACCGAATAAATTGAAGAAACTGATTTTTCGTTCTTCAGTTTCCCTAGTAGAAGGAGTGACCTCTTTTTTGGATTGAATAGACTCAGATTCTTTTAGTTCCTCTTTAATGATTTTTTCAGTAGGAATTGTGATTACCTCTTTTTTATTTTGAAGAAGCTGCTTTGCGACGGGATCGTGCTCATAATTCTTCTGTTCGTTATCAACAAACGATTTGGTGTTTTGTAATAATTTCTTAAATTCCTCGGTGTACGGCTTATCACCGTGCAATATTTCACGTTTTTCTTTTTTACTAAATAAATTGAAGAAACTGACTTTACGTTCTTCAGTTTCCTTACTGGATTGAGTGATTTCATGTTTTAAAGATTCGAATCCTCTTGATTTCTCACATTCGTAATTGTTCAGTTCGTTATCAACGAAGTTCTTCGTTTTTTCAAGTAGTTCTTTAAATTCTTTGGAATATGGTTCGACACTGTGCAAAGAATCTTTCTTTTCTTTCTTACTGAACAAATTAAAGAAGCTGGTTTTTCGCTCTTCAGATTCTTTCGTTTTTTCGTAGTCTTTACTTTCTCGTTCTTCATGTTCTTTAACAGTTGATATTATTGCTTTATCTTTTTCACTTTGAAGAGATTGTTTCGGCCGTCCACATTCGTAATTGCTTAGTTCATTATCAACGAAGGTCTTCGTTTGTTGTAGTAATTCCTTAAATTCGTTTGAATAGATTTGGTCAGTATGCAAGGACTCTTTTTTCTCCTTTTTACCGAACAGATTAAAGAAAATGGGTTTTCGCTCTTCAGATTCTTTAATTTTGTCGTAATCTTTACTTTTACCGTGGGTTTGTTGTTCTACTAGTGGTTGGGCTGTTTTGGTTAAAATCTCTTTTTCTTTGGTTTTTTCGCTTGGTTTTTCAGCCTTAGACAAATCGTTTTCGTCATTGGAAGTTACTTCTTCGGCAGAGAGTTCAGGGGGTGGCGTTGGCATTCTGGGCTTTTTACCATGGGCATATTTTTTATTGTATCTACCTTCCTTAATTTTTTTCTTTTCCACTTTCGTTTTGGCTATACTTTCTGGTTCTGATTCTGAATCGGAGGATTTTCCCACAATCAGTTTTAGGGTTCCAAGTAATCCTTTTTTGTGTTTTTTCTTTTCTGTCTTTTCTGTTGCACTTTCAGCATTCAAAGGGGGCTCGAATTTAGTTTCGTTATCTATAAATTCTAGCGTTTTCGTTTTAACATACGATAAGTCGTTGAAAATCGTTTGCTGATTTTCATTTGTACTTTCGAAAGCAAGTCCTGAAAAACATGCAACTACAAAATCTACAAAGAGCAAAACTTATCTACGTATTACCTGAACATTTTCTTTTTTGTTTTTTGTTCTTTTGTAAAATATTCTTACTGCAGATGTTTATTATTGGAGTTATTAATTTACTCTGTTAGTTAAAAAAAAAGTTCACATGCCTTTAAAAGTCGTTCATACATTTATTAAAATTACCTTCATACTGACATTGCCAATCACAGTAGGCCTTTGGGATCGAAGTGAAATCGTAATTAGTGATATACTCTATATAAGGACTGTGCCTCAATGAAAATTTGGGAGCAGCGTATTGTTGACAAGACACCAAGTCGGTGTAACTTTTTGAACAGGTGCTGTGACTGTTATGAAAAGGAGTAACATATGAGATTTCCCTGTCTTCCTTTAAATAGTCACGTGTTTTTTTAACCACTTCCTTTACGGCTTTGACTTCTATTTGTGGCTTTTTGTTTTTCCCGGTCTCTACATGTAATAACATTTCTGCATCTACTTGTTCTTGAAAATTTTCTAAGCTTTCAATGCTTGAATCAAAGTTTGATGCGTGTCTATTCGAATCTGTATTTTCATAATTAGGATTTTTAACAAGTTCACTGCTACCGGGCCAGTCGTCTAAACAGTCTTTTCTAATACTCTCGAGTAAAAGTAGGGCTTCATGAGTTTCAATTTCCAATAAAAGCTCATTTAGAGATTTTTCCATATTTTCAACAGATTCTTCGCGTTCAAAATCGATTTTAGATATCTGTCCTTCATCAATGTCACACTTTTTAAGATTTTCGTACATTTTTTTCTCGATCAGGGATAAATCATCTGATTCGTCAAAGGAAGCATGTTCGTTATCATTCGCAATTTGCAATTCTTTAGTTGAATTGTATATTTTAGATTGTTTTTTACGTAACCTTCGCAATGGAACTTCTAAAACTGCTTCGTCAGAAGGTGTCAATTCGAGTTTATTAACAAACTTCGTTTGATCTCTGTTATCCATGGCTAAGTCGTATCGATGCTGCTTGGTGTCTAACAATTTAATAAATTCGGCCCTGTGATTGGTTGAATTATTTACTATGCTTGAACCTGATGGTCCTACATTTAATGAAACCAATCAATAAGTAGATATAATTATGGAGATAGAACAAGTTGGTAAAAATGTTTCTGCTAGTAAGAATATTTTTCAAATTTTTAAGCTTATGTAGAGGTACATAGCTATTGCTGCACAAACGTTTACAATCAAATCACTGATGCGAGTACGGTATTGTTTTCTAGCAGGAATATATAATATCATGAAAATAAATTATAATAATTTGAGTTTTACGTGCAAAATAATTCTACGGAGAATAGCAAAAAGACAGTATAGGTTGATGCAAACTTACTAGTACTGTATTCGTTTAGAGAAATACATGCAGACAATAACAATGTAAAATCTCCAGGTTTATTACGTATCTCATTAATTTATAAAATATATATTTGTATATTTCTAGATAGCGGCTTAGGTACTGTCCATTTTTAAAAATTAAACAGTACATGTCGTATTAGAAATTCTTTCCGTATCATACTTATATAATGTAAAATTTTTTAGGAAAATACAACTTTGGAAGATTGCGTTCACTATGCTGTTCGTGGTTATTTATTGAGCGATGTTTAATCACAATAAGTAGGCTAGTTGGTGTTCCGTCAGAGTTACTTAAAACGTGTTGATGAGATCTACTGACTATGAATATACTGTTCTGATACAAATTAACTATCAAGTAACTAGTAGTATGTTACCATAACCTACAAGGGTCTTATAAAGGTACCTGCTTGTCAAAATGAAATTAGTCATATGCTATATGCAATAGACATACAATAAAACAATTAAATAAAAAACTTTAAGTTAATGTCAGCAAATTGTCAAAACCACGAGATATGGATCGCGACTTTATTTGTTCCCATTCCACACTATAGGTAGTATGATAAATGGTCGACTAGATGGCGGTATATTACCAATTACTCAATTATTCAACGTGTATATATGAGGCAATTTAAGAAACTTTTAAAAGCGGAGCACAAACCCACAAGTCAATAAAATGTTGTGAGCACCTTCCAAAGTTGCGTTTTCTCCAAGTTCCAGACAAAAAAATTGCAAGATTTTTTACGGTCTGCCAATTTGTGCGTTAGTAAATTTATGGCTTTTACACGGGAAGGGAGGGGAGTGGATAGATACTTTGTGTAAAAACTTTATTTTACAATCGTAAAAAATTAACAGACTGAACATTTCCTTACCGACTGCTAATCTGCCACTTATATTAAACAAAAATTTAAAGAAAAAAATCTGACGAAAGATTGTATGATGTGAAAAAAATAAGGTTGAAAGACAATTTGTTTCCGCCTTCCAACTTATCATAAAGTTATTTTTGTTACAAAGCCCACGTGGTAGTATACGCTAGGTGACGCTAGGTAAGCACCGTTGACAGCGACATTCATAGGCCCTCAAGTTAATTCATGTTAAATAAAATAATTCGAAGTGGTCTGTATTCTGTCGAAACTGCCAGAAGCGGATCGCGATTTCGATCTTTTTGGATCTCATCAGCGCATCGCAGGCAGCTCCGACAGAACACAGACCAACTTTTACCTACTGTCTTAACAGTACGTTTTAGAAAATTCTACAAATGGCGCAGTAAACGCCATCTGTAGCACGATGCTACATTTTAGGATTACGTATGCTCCAACAAGGCCCATTTGTGTGGATATCTACTTGCTGAAAACGAATCCCGGCGTAGCCAACCTCAACGTGATAGGCACGTTACCATAATCGAATAAAATAATTCGAAGTGGTCT